CTGCCACTACCATGGGGTGCATCTGGATGAATGGTTGAAGGTTCTCCGCTTGAAGTTTCTTTTAGCCCGTCCGTTTGTGAGAGGATCTCTACTGCTCTCCCTGTCGCACAGAAAATAAAAATACAAGTGGCCTTTAGGGGAAAAAAATCATACATATTTTAATAATATCAAGAATTACCTTCAGGCTCAATTTGTATCTGGTCGAGGCTCTTTCCTTCGAATTCCGTCACTCTTCCCTGCTCCATGGCCATCAACACTTTGCTGATTTTGGCCAGCTCCAGTGTCCCCTCTGGTAGTCTGTAATATTGCCTGTGGATGCGAATGTCATGGCCGAGGAAGTTGGCTAGTATGTCCATCTCATTCTCTTTCATATTGAGAACTGTAGACATAGTAGCTATGTGCTTTCTAAGTTTGGTTGAGGATAGCATCTCTGGATGCACCGCACCACATTCTTTGGCTACCTGGCGTAGGGAGTCTGATCCCCTGATGTGGGTGTCTGCGCCCGGGCGGGAAAAGAAGTATGGGTTATGGTCAGAGATGGAACAGGCCCTTCTGTTCTCCACCAGCACCTCCATCAAAGCAATCATTTCAGGAGTCAAAAGAACCGGCACTTTCCCACTTCTTTTCCCTTTAATTTCAATGCGTTGAAAATGCTGACACAGCTTTTTCTCAAGTTGGGACAGTCCCAGAGCAATGTCAGAATGGATCCCAGTCTTACTTCTTAAGGTAAAGGCTGTCAGTGGCATCTTTGAAACCTCACCTTCCCTTCTTCGATTGAAAATGATGACCTCACAAAGAGTCAAAACTGCCAGTTTAGACCAATGCTTAGACGTTGGCTCACTTATTAGGGTTTGCACATATTCAGGTCGACATACCTCAATATGTGCATGCATGGCTCTAACGTCCTCAGTCAGAGGGAGCAGGTCCGGAGTGTTCCACTTGGCTTGCCGGAGGGTCTGTAGGGCAGCAGAAGAAACACAGACGTCCCACCTCTTCTCAAAAAGCAGCCGGCTTCGTTGGAGGTTTTTAATAAATAGTTCATCAACACAATGCTCCATTTTTGAGTCACATTCAAGAATATCTGCTAGCTTTCTGAGGCTATGGCCGAGTTTGAGGGCCAAGGATGGAGTCTTGTATTGATTTGTTTCCTCATCATATCCAGCCACAGACCTGACTGCATCAATCACATGGTTAAAGTTGGAAGGAATAAAGAAATCCTTAATTGTTTTCAGTTTCCCTGCGGTTTTTGCTTCGTTAATTAACCTACCAACTTCTCTCATTTTCTGCCTAATGTAATCATGCTTTGTCTTATCATGCCCGTGTTTTAAGTACAGGTGCTCTCCGAGTCTCAGAATCCCCTTTTCTGCTTTGACAACACCCGTGACCTCATCCTGATGCATTGCCGAAATTAAAGACCACAGCTTTTTGCTGATGCCCTCCGGTACAGGCTGGGCTAGGGAGCAGAGGGACTGGACCCTACTTCTACCTGGTTTAGCCTGGGCATCTTTCTGTGAAAGCCGGCACCTGGCCACATGCCTCCACAGCGACTTTCGCTTAAGCAATGCCCCACAGTCTATACAGTGCAAAAACTCACTGGATTTAACTGGGGAATTTGGCTGTTTAGCTGGGACTAAAGTTCCAATGCCGGCCTTTAAAACCTCAAAATTGTGCTCACGGTTTCCACTATTCCTGATCAAATCAAACTGAAGTTTACGTGCTTTAGATTTCACAGGTAGAGCCAATGCTCTGGCTACGTCACTTTCATTTCCATGTTTTCTAGTCAAATGACGGGACATTTTGTGGCAGGACATTGAACAGTAGAGGCAGAAGTGTCTCTTGCTGTATACTCGCCCCCCATTTTTCTTCTTTTGCAGCTGCATGATAACAATCTTATTTGCCTTTGGTTCGTCACTTTCCGAGTCTTGAAGAAAAGTGTTTTTGATTTTTCTTTTTCCATACTTTTTTACAGGTTTCTTCTTGACAGTTAAATCGTCAGAATCTGAGTCGACTTCATCAATTAGGGACTCTTGACTAAGCTGCACAAACAACAAATAATTTGTAATCATTCTATATAACAATTTGAAGTCATGACTTGTAGTCAGCACTTACCAGTGGTTTGTAAGCGTGCGCTTCAGTGTGCTCCTCCATGATTTCTTGCAGCCTAATGAACCACACACTTGCACCTTTTTCTAGCCTGACACCTGATTTCCTCTGTTGTGCTGCTCCATGATTGGCTCCAGCCTGCTGACTGAAATTGCCCCAGTGTGCCCCTCCTTGATATCCCGCAACCCACCACCAGGGTTCCGACACATAACACACTTTTTTCAGGAAAGTAAACCTCCAGGGGTCCTTTCCATATTTTTACAGAGACTGCATAAGGACCGTTAGAAAAGCATTACCCATTGATTATTAAGCTTGGACCAGTGGGGTCCGGTGTTCGGGCCCCACCACGTAAAACCAGTCCCCATGACGTGAGTGGAATCTCAGGTTATGGAACCCACCAGGAGTTGAAAACAAGTGCACTCACACACACACACTCACACACACTTGTCTTTCATTGTGCTTATAACAGCCATGTGAGGCTTTCGAAAAACCCTAACCCCACGCAGACAAAATATCTGCTCTTAAGAAATCCAAGGGCACAAACACACACACACACACAAACACACACACAAACACACACACAGACACGCACAGAGACACGCACACACACACACACACATAGACACGCACATAGACACGCACACACACACACATAGACACGCACATAGACACGCACACAAACACACATAGACACGCACACACACACACAGACACACACATAGACACGCACACACACACACAGATACACACATAGACACACACACACACACACACACACACACACAAACATACACAAACACACAGATACACACAGACACACACTCACACACACACAGATACACACAGACACACACACACAGACACACAAACACACACAGACACACACACACACACAAAGACACACACACAAGGGCGGCACGGTGGCTGAGTGGATAGCACTCTCGCCTCTCAGCAAGAAGGTCCTGGGTTCGAATCCCGGCCGGACCAGGGCCTTTCTGAGTGGAGTTTGCATGTTCTCCCCGTGTCTGCGTAGGTTTCCTCCGGGTACTCCGGTTTCCCCTACCACTAAAAATATGTCCAATAGTTCTGGCATGCGCCTCCTGTACTGGCGACCCCGCTCCCATCTCTGTGTGGAGTGAGAGACAAATGCCCATAATTAACAATTGTAAACCGCTTTGAGACTCAGATCTGTAGTGAAAAGGCGGTGTATAAATACAAAACTTACTTACTTACTTACTTACACACACACACAGATACAGACACACACAGACACACACAGATACACACAGACACACACTCACACACACACACAGACACAGACAGAAACACACACAGATACAGACACACACAGACACACAGCAGTGTTGACACGTGCTAATGGGGGCGTGGCCTTTGATCTAGCATTAGCTTAGCGGTGACAGGTCGTAGACATGTGATCTGGGTTAATACGATTTCTTTTTCACACTAAAATCAGATAAAGATCAAAGAGAGATCGGTTTATTTTTCCTTCCTCTGCCATTATCTGCCACACATACACAAAACATACATCATACACATACAGACAGACGTGTTAGGATCTGGTACCGTATCCTAGCAACACACCACAACAAACCAGGATCAGGGAACGTTCCAGCAGCTCTTTGGACCATCACTGTCAGTTAGAACCAGGACCAAGAGGGACTGAAGAAGGACCAGTTCATGGTGAACCAGAGTAGGGTAGAGTAGAGTAGGGTAGAGTAGAGTATGGTAGAGTAGAGTAGAGTAGAGTAGAGTAGAGTAGAGTAGAGTAGAGTAGAGTAGAGTAGGGTAGGGTAGAGTAGAGTAGAGTAGAGTAGAGTAGAGTAGAGTAGAGTATGGTAGGGTAGGGTAGGGTAGGGTAGATAGTAGAGTAGAGTAGAGTAGGGTAGAGTAGAGTAGGGTAGAGTAGAGTAGAGTAGAGTATGGTAGGGTAGGGTAGAGTAGAGTAGAGTAGAGTAGAGTAGGGTAGGGTAGGGTAGGGTAGGGTAGGGTAGAGTAGAGTAGAGTAGAGTAGGGTAGGGTAGGGTAGGGTAGGGTAGGGTAGAGTAGAGTAGAGTAGAGTAGAGTAGAGTAGGGTAGAGTAGAGTAGATGGTAGAGTAGAGTAGAGTAGAGTAGGGTAGGGTAGGGTAGGGTAGGGTAGGGTAGGGTAGGGTAGGGTAGGGTAGAGTAGAGTAGAGTAGGGTAGGGTAGAGTAGGGTAGGGTAGGAGTAGGGTAGGGTAGAGTAGAGTATGGTAGAGTAGAGTAGAGTAAAGTAGAGTAGAGTAGAGTAGGGTGGAGAGTTCAAGATAAACTTTATTGATCTAACGACAGAGAAATGAACATATAGTCGTATGTTTTACATCTGACACTTTCAGATCTGAACAAAATGTAACACGGATAAAAAGTCCAGAAAGTCGGTCGTCGATGTAAAGTCAGAACGTGTTGTGTTCGAGGCCCAGAGGCTCTTCACACTGCTCTGTGTTGTATGTTTTTGCTAATGCGTCTCTGTGGAACCGGGTTTTGATGTTGGCCCTTCAGCCGCCGACGCTTTGAAACACCCACGTTACCGCGGCTCTACTTCTGAAAAGTCAAATCAAACTGCCTTTTTCTACGGACCTGCTTTTATTTATAGCACCATCACCGCGGTACTTTTGAACTAAATATTTGGGCCATCCGACAGAAGCTGAAATCAAGTGTGTAATAGCTTCCCGCTCCTCTGGCATTCTCCACGGTTCGAGTGTTTACACGCCGCGGTAAACCTGCTATCGGTCACACGCCGGTGGAGGTCTTATTGCGGCTAAGCTGTTTACACGTCGCCTTTGATAGCCTGCGCCGCGGTAGCCCTGTTAGCGTGCGTAATCCCGTTAGCCCGTCGCGCCTCTCTACCTGCGCCGCACAATGCCAGCTATCTCCAGACTCGGCGCTAATCCCAGCGGCGACGTGACGGTGAGAGCGGCTTCCTGCTTCACACCCGTCCACATGAAAGTGTTGATGCGACTGCAGAAGAACGCCAATGATTACGGTCTAAAGCAGCGCGCCGCCCCATGCTACGCTAACACGTTCAGCGTCGGGGAAAGGTGCGAGTGTTCATTAACCCTTTCATAGTTTGCTCGATGAGTCACAATCTCAAGTTCATTTATTTTTGGACAGCTCTGAATCACTACACAAGTTTACTCAGAGGACTTTAAATAAAAATGAGAATCATCTTTAACTACAAGTAAACTTTGTGATTTAGGAGCGGTGGAAAATGTTTTGTATTGTCCTTTGTCTGACAATCTTCATAATCTTCTGTTTAGTGGAGCCTTTGTTCAAAAGCCTGGATTGTTTTGGAGCAGTGATGATGAGAAGCTGAAATGTTTGTTTAATTCCAATGAGTTTAAGATAGATACTTAGGTTGGTAAAGTCTGGAAGCGCCGAATCCTGTTTGTTCAAATAAGTTATATTTGTATCCTGTCCGTCGTCTGATCCTGTTCTTCATATTGGTGTCTTAAACCCATGAAAGGGCGGGGCATGTTGTATGCAAGACACAATAATACATACAAATTCAGAAGTAAGTAAGTAAGTAAGTTAGAAGAAGAAGAAGAAGAAATCCAATGATAACAATCGCATAGAGCAGGGGTCTCCAGTAGCTCTCCAGCCCCTGAGTAGCTCCCCAAAGGATTTAGAATTTTACACATGATCTTGAAAGATTCATTTTGACTCAATGCATTTCTATAATAAGTATTAATATCGGGTTGTTCAGTGCAATGGTATGTTTTCCATGTTTTGTCATAATTATTTCACAGAATTTTATTACGGCTGCAAAAAGGAGTAGCTCTCTGCCTCTTCTGTTGTACAAAAGTAGCTCTCTGACAGAAGAAGGTTTGGGGACCCCTGACACAGAGCCATGAGTCCATAAGAGAGTCCTGGATCATCTCTGTCATTACTGCCTCCTGCTTCAGAGGAACTACTGAAGTGAGAAACCCCGGGCAGAGAGGCTGTGGATGCAGGACTCAGGCTGTACAACGAGGACTGAGGCCTCTCCCAGACTCCAGGCCGGGGTCAGGGGGAGAGTACACAGGTGCAGACGGGAGAGAGCGGGGTCAGGGGGAGAGAGTACACAGGTGCAGACGGAGGAGAGAGTACACAGGTGCAGACGGGAGAGAGCGGGGTCAGGGGGAGAGAGTACACAGGTGCAGACGGAGGAGAGAGTACACAGGTGCAGACGGGGGAGAGAGTACACAGGTGCAGACGGGGGAGAGAGTACACAGGTGCAGACAGAGGAGAGCGGGGTCAGGGGGAGAGAGTACACAGGTGCAGACGGGAGAGAGCGGGGTCAGGGGGAGAGAGTACACAGGTGCAGACGGAGGAGAGCGGGGTCAGGGGGAGAGAGTACACAGGTGCAGACAGGGGAGAGCGGGGTCAGGGGGAGAGAGTACACAGGTGCAGACGGGGGAGAGCGGGGTCAGGGGGAGAGAGTACACAGGTGCAGACGGAGGAGAGCGGGGTCAGGGGGAGAGAGTACACAGGTGCAGACGGAGGAGAGCGGGGTCAGGGGGAGAGAGTACACAGGTGCAGACGGGGGAGAGCGGGGTCAGGGGGAGAGAGTACACAGGTGCAGACGGAGGAGAGCGGGGTCAGGGGGAGAGAGTACACAGGTGCAGACGGGGGAGAGCGGGGTCAGGGGGAGAGAGTACACAGGTGCAGACAGGGGAGAGCGGGGTCAGGGGGAGAGAGTACACAGGTGCAGACGGGAGAGAGCGGGGTCAGGGGGAGAGAGTACACAGGTGCAGACGGAGGAGAGAGTACACAGGTGCAGACGGAGGAGAGCGGGGTCAGGGGGAGAGAGTACACAGGTGCAGACGGAGGAGAGCGGGGTCAGGGGGAGAGAGTACACAGGTGCAGACGGGGGAGAGCGGGGTCAGGGGGAGAGAGTACACAGGTGCAGACGGAGGAGAGCGGGGTCAGGGGGAGAGAGTACACAGGTGCAGACGGAGGAGAGCGGGGTCAGGGGGAGAGAGTACACAGGTGCAGACGGGGGAGAGCGGGGTCAGGGGGAGAGAGTACACAGGTGCAGACAGGGGAGAGCGGGGTCAGGGGGAGAGAGTACACAGGTGCAGACGGGAGAGAGCGGGGTCAGGGGGAGAGAGTACACAGGTGCAGACGGAGGAGAGAGTACACAGGTGCAGACGGAGGAGAGAGGTGTCAGGAGGAGAGAGTCCACAGGTGCAGACGGAGGAGAGAGTACACAGGTGCAGACGGGGGAGAGAGTACACAGGTGCAGACGGGGGAGAGAGTACACAGGTGCAGACGGGGGAGAGAGTACACAGGTGCAGACGGAGGAGAGAGTACACAGGTGCAGACGGAGGAGAGCGGGGTCAGGGGGAGAGAGTACACAGGTGCAGACGGGAGAGAGCGGGGTCAGGGGGAGAGAGTACACAGGTGCAGACGGGAGAGAGCGGGGTCAGGGGGAGAGAGTACATAGGTGCAGACGGGAGAGAGCGGGGTCAGGGGGAGAGAGTACACAGGTGCAGACGGGAGAGAGCGGGGTCAGGGGGAGAGAGTACACAGGTGCAGACGGGAGAGAGCGGGGTCAGGGGGAGAGAGTACACAGGTGCAGACGGGAGAGAGCGGGGTCAGGGGGAGAGAGTACACAGGTGCAGACGGGAGAGAGCGGGGTCAGGGGGAGAGAGTACACAGGTGCAGACGGGAGAGAGCGGGGTCAGGGGGGGAGAGTACACAGGTGCAGACGGGAGAGAGCGGGGTCAGGGGGAGAGAGTACACAGGTGCAGACGGGAGAGAGCGGGGTCAGGGGGAGAGAGTACACAGGTGCAGACGGGAGAGAGCGGGGTCAGGGGGAGAGAGTACACAGGTGCAGACGGGGGAGAGCGGGGTCAGGGGGAGAGAGTACACAGGTGCAGACGGGGGAGAGAGTACACAGGTGCAGACGGAGGAGAGAGTACACAGGTGCAGACGGGGGAGAGAGTACACAGGTGCAGATGGGGGAGAGAGTACACAGGTGCAGACGGGGGAGAGAGTACACAGGTGCAGACGGAGGAGAGAGTACACAGGTGCAGACAGGGGAGAGCGGTATCAGGAGGAGAGAGTACACAGGTGCAGACGGGAGAGAGCGGGGTCAGGGGGAGAGAGTACACAGGTGCAGACGGGAGAGAGCGGGGTCAGGGGGAGAGAGTACACAGGTGCAGACGGAGGAGAGAGTACACAGGTGCAGACGGAGGAGAGAGTACACAGGTGCAGACGGGGGAGAGCGGGGTCAGGAGGAGAGAGTCCACAGGTGCAGACGGAGGAGAGCGGGGTCAGGGAGAGATAGTCCACAGGTGCAGACGGGAGAGAGCGGGGTCAGGGGGAGAGAGTACACAGGTGCAGACGGGGGAGAGCGGGGTCAGGGGGAGAGAGTACACAGGTGCAGACGGGGGAGAGAGTACACAGGTGCAGACGGAGGAGAGAGTACACAGGTGCAGACGGGGGAGAGAGTACACAGGTGCAGATGGGGGAGAGAGTACACAGGTGCAGACGGGGGAGAGAGTACACAGGTGCAGACGGAGGAGAGAGTACACAGGTGCAGACAGGGGAGAGCGGTATCAGGAGGAGAGAGTACACAGGTGCAGACGGGAGAGAGCGGGGTCAGGGGGAGAGAGTACACAGGTGCAGACGGGAGAGAGCGGGGTCAGGGGGAGAGAGTACACAGGTGCAGACGGAGGAGAGCGGGGTCAGGGAGAGATAGTCCACAGGTGCAGACGGAGGAGAGAGTACACAGGTGCAGACGGGGGAGAGAGTACACAGGTGCAGACGGGGGAGAGAGTACACAGGTGCAGACGGAGGAGAGCGGGGTCAGGGGGAGAGAGTACACAGGTGCAGACGGGAGAGAGCGGGGTCAGGGGGAGAGAGTACACAGGTGCAGACGGAGGAGAGCGGGGTCAGGGGGAGAGAGTACACAGGTGCAGACGGGGGAGAGCGGGGTCAGGGGGAGAGAGTACACAGGTGCAGACAGGGGAGAGCGGGGTCAGGGGGAGAGAGTACACAGGTGCAGACGGGAGAGAGCGGGGTTAGGGGGAGAGAGTACACAGGTGCAGACGGAGGAGAGAGTACACAGGTGCAGACGGAGGAGAGAGGTGTCAGGAGGAGAGAGTCCACAGGTGCAGACGGAGGAGAGCGGGGTCAGGGAGAGATAGTCCACAGGTGCAGACGGAGGAGAGAGTACACAGGTGCAGACGGGGGAGAGAGTACACAGGTGCAGACGGGGGAGAGAGTACACAGGTGCAGACGGGGGAGAGAGTACACAGGTGCAGACGGGGGAGAGAGTACACAGGTGCAGACGGAGGAGAGAGTACACAGGTGCAGACGGAGGAGAGCGGGGTCAGGGGGAGAGAGTACACAGGTGCAGACGGGAGAGAGCGGGGTCAGGGGGAGAGAGTACACAGGTGCAGACGGAGGAGAGCGGGGTCAGGGGGAGAGAGTACACAGGTGCAGACGGGGGAGAGCGGGGTCAGGGGGAGAGAGTACACAGGTGCAGACAGGGGAGAGCGGGGTCAGGGGGAGAGAGTACACAGGTGCAGACGGGAGAGAGCGGGGTCAGGGGGAGAGAGTACACAGGTGCAGACGGAGGAGAGAGTACACAGGTGCAGACGGAGGAGAGAGGTGTCAGGAGGAGAGAGTCCACAGGTGCAGACGGAGGAGAGCGGGGTCAGGGAGAGATAGTCCACAGGTGCAGACGGAGGAGAGAGTACACAGGTGCAGACGGGGGAGAGAGTACACAGGTGCAGACGGGGGAGAGAGTACACAGGTGCAGACGGGGGAGAGAGTACACAGGTGCAGACGGGGGAGAGAGTACACAGGTGCAGACGGAGGAGAGAGTACACAGGTGCAGACGGAGGAGAGAGTACACAGGTGCAGACGGAGGAGAGAGTACACAGGTGCAGACGGGGGAGAGCGGTATCAGGAGGAGAGAGTACACAGGTGCAGACGGTGGTCCCATCATCACGCCTAAAACAGATGGGACTTGAAGCTCAGAACTTAAACATACCTCATTGGGCCTTTCTGAGTGGAGTTTTTGCATGTTCTCTCCGTGCCTGCCTAGGTTTCCTCCAGGTGCTCCGGTCTCCCCTACTAAAAGAACATTCCCAACACATCAAACATTCCCAACACATCAAATCCTCCAGCTCTGGTCCTGACCCAGCCGAGCATCAACCCCTGGAGCTGGGTCCCGGGCGCTGTTACCACGGCGACCACTGCTCCTGCCTAAGCCTTAGCAGCGTCTGGGTCAAATGCAGAGGTGGATTTGCCCCACAGGGATCGACACAGTCCACCTTAAATCCTCGGACCTCGCTGCAGACCCAACCCTCTGCTTCCTCCTTCTCGCTCCTCGCTGGGCCACAGAGGATCCATCTTGTTTACACAGAACTATTAGTGTATTTGTATAATTTCTCTTTTGCTGCGAGTGCGTTCTAAACCGGCGCTGGTTTTAGATTCATTTGCGTTGCTTGTTCTCCCCATCGCCCAGGGGTTGGATGTTTGTCTGAGCTGATGAATAATGCAGTCAGGAGTCGTGTTGTTGAATGTGTTGAATGTTTAAACCTCTCTGAGCTGAGTGGGACCGAGTGGGGCCGGGGCCCACCAGATGGAGCCGCCGGGGCCCGTAACCACCGCTCATTTACAGATGGACAGACTCATTATTTAGAGTTTGTTGGAGAAATAGATGTAAAACATAACAGGGCTCTTGCTGTTCTTTTTTGTCCGGACGCTTGGTCTTGGAATCTTGGTCCTGGTCTGGTCCTGGTCCTAAAAAAAATAACAAATATAGACGGAATCCTGCGTTTTATTTCATGACTTTTTTTTCAGAGATTCTAGAGTTTTCTCAAAGTTTTTTTTCCAGCGTTTCTCCAGTATTTCTCTGGAGTTTTTTCAGTTTATCCAGACTTTAGTCAGAGTTTTTCCAGAGTTACAGAATACTTTATATTTGACAAAAGACGGATGTTAGCTAGTCCAAACAACAGAGACCAGACTGAAGTCGCCGTGACCTTAAAGACCTGAACACCAAGGCCAGCTCTCACACTGGTCCTGGTCTTGGTCCTGGTCTTGGTCTGGGTCCTGGTCTTGGTCCTGGTCTGGGTCTTGGTCCTATTCTGGGTCCTAGTCCTGGTCCTGGTCTGGGTCCTGGTGCTGGTGCTGGTCCTGGTCTTGGTCTGGGTCTTGGTCCTGGTACTGGTCCTGGTCCTGGTCTTGGTCTTGGTACTGGTCCTGGTCTTGGTCCTGGTCCTGATCTTGGTACTGGTCTTGGTCCTGGTCCTGGTCCTGATCTTGGTCTGGGTCCTGGTCTTGGTCTTGGTCTTGGTCTTGGTCCTGGTCCTGGTCCTGGTCCTGGTCTTGGTCCTGCTCTGGGTCCTGGTCTTGGTCTTGGTCTTGGTCTTGGTCCTGGTCCTGGTCTTGGTCCTGCTCTGGGTCCTGCTCTGGGTCCTGGTCTTGGTCTTGGTCTTGGTCCTGGTCTTGGTCCTGCTCTGGGTCCTGGTCTTGGTCTTGGTCCTGGTCCTGGTCCTGGTCCTGGTCCTGGTCTTGGTCTTGGTCTTGGTCTTGGTCTTGGTCCTGGTCCTGGTCCTACTGAGACTAACCCCAGATAAAAGTCTAACGGTCCTGTGTCCTCTGCAGCCGCTGGACTACGAGACGATGCCCGTTCACACGTTCACGGTGGAGGTGCGCGAGGAGCTGGCGGTGCGCACGCCGGAGAACAGCCGCAGCGCCATCACCACGGCAACGGTGAGGTCACACTCTCAACAGCCAATGAGACGTCTGCGTTTGTCGAATAGGAGAGTACACAGGTTGCTGACGGGGGGAGAGAGTACACAGGTGCAGAGGGGGAGAGAGTACACAGGTGCAGAGGAGGAGAGAGTACACAGGTGCAGACGGAGGAGATGAGGTGTCAGGAGGGATTACGTCACTGTTTCATGTAAAGCTCTCTTTCTCTCTCACTATCGCTCTCTCTCTCTGGAGGTGCTAGCAGACGGAGGAGAGAGTACACAGGTGCAGTACGGAGGAGAGAGGTGTTCTGGAGGAGAGTAAGGAGAGAGGATGAGACGTCCACAGGTGAGACGGAGGAGGAGGATAGAGAAAAACACGGGTGCATGGGGGAGAGAGTTCCAGGTGCAGACGGGGGGGCAGGAGAGTACCACAGGTGGCAGTCGGGGGACGAGAGTACACAGGTGCGAACGGAGGAGAGAGTACACAGGTGCAGACGGAGGAGAGTGGTGTCAAGGGAGGAGCTGGAGAGATGTCCACAGGTGCTGACGGCGAGGAAAGAGGTAGTACAAGGTGCAGAGGGGGAGAGAGTACAAAGGTTGCCAGACGGGGGAGAGGAGAGTACACAAGGTGCAGGACGGGGAGAGAGTACACAGGTTTGCAGACGCGAGGAGTGAGTACAAAGGTGCAGACGGGAGGAAGAGAGGCTGTTCTGGAGGAGAGAGTCCACAGGTGCAGACGGAGGAGAGATGTACAAGGTTGCAGACCGGGGGAAGAGAGTACACAGGGGCGACGGGGGTGAGAGTACACAGGTGCAGGACGGGGGAGAGATGAGTACACAGGTCGCAGAAGGAGGAGAGAGTACACAGGTGCAGACAGGAGGAGGTGAAGGTGTCTGAGGAGAGCGTCCACAGGTGCAGACGGAGGTGAGAGTTACAAAGGATGCAGACGGGGGACCGTGAGTACACAGGTGCGACGGGGGAGGAGAGTACACAGGTTACATGCAGGACGGGGGTAGCGAGTACACAGGTGCTAGACGGAGGAGAGATGTTACACAGGGTGCAGACGGGAGGAGGAGACGGGGTGTCAGGAGGGAGAGTCCACAGGTGCAGGACGGTGGAGAGAGAGTACACAGGTGCAGAGGGGGACGAGATACAAGTGTGCAGACGGGGGAGGAGAGTACACAGTGCAGACGGGGGGAGAGAGTACTACCGGTGAGACGGGTGGATTGAGTGTCCACAGGTGCAGACGGAGGAGAGAGGTTGTCTGGAGGGGAGAGAGAGTCCACAGGTGCTGACGGCAGGAGTGAGTAAAAGGTGCAGACGGGGGAGAGAGTAAACAGGTGCAGGGACGGGGGAGAGAATTATGTACACAGGTGAAGACGGGGAGAGAGTACACAGGTGCCAGCGGCGGAGAGAGTACACAGAGCAGTCGGAGGGAGAGAGAGGTGTCAAGGAGGAGAGAGTCCACAGGTGCAGACGGAGGAGAGAGTACAAAGGTGAGAGGGGGAGGAGAGTACACAGGTGCAGACGGGGGGGGAGAGTACACAGGGTTCAGACGGGGGAGTGCGTACAACAGGTGCAGGCGGAGGAGAGAGTACACAGGTGCAGACGGTGGAGAGTGTTCAGGAGGACGAGAGTCACACAGGTGCAGACGGAGGAGAGAGTACACAGGTGCAGACGGGGGAGAGTGTACTAGGTGCAGACGGGGGAGAGTGTACAAAGGTGCAGACGGGGGCGAGAGTTCACAGGTGCAAGACGGAGGAGAGATTTACACAGGTGCAGACGGCAGGAGAGGAGGGGTCAGGAGGAGAGAGTCCACAGGTGCTAGACGGAGGAGAGAGTACCACAGGTGCAGCAGGGGGAGAGGAGTACACAGGTGCAGACGGGGGGAGTGAGTCAAAGGTTGCGAGACGGGGGGACGAGAGTACACAGGGTGCAGACGGAGGGAGAGAGTACAAAGGTGCAGACGGAGGAAGTGAGGTGTCAGGAGGAGAGAGTCCAGCAGGTGCAGACGGACGAGAGAGTAAAGGTGCAGCACGGGGGTGAGTAGTACACAGGTGCAGACGGGGGAGTGAGAGTACACAGGTGCATAGAAGGGGGGAGAGGGGAGTTACAGGTGCAGTCAGGAGGAGAGAGTACTACAGGTGCAGACGGAGGAGAGATGGTGTCAGGAGGAGTGAGTCCACAGTGTGCAGGACGGAAGGAGAGAGGTACACAGGTGCAGACGGGGTGAGAGAGTACACAGGTGCAGCGGGGGGGAGGAGAGTACTACAGTGCAGTCGGGGGAGAGAGAGTACACAGGTGTCAGACGGAGAGGCGAGTACTCCCAGGTTGTACAGACGGAGGAGATGAGGGGTCAGGACGGAGGAGTCCAAGGTGCAGACGGAGGAGAGAGTCACAGAGTGCAGAGGGGGAGAGAGTACACAGGTGCAGACGGGGACGACGAGTAACGGAGTACACAGGTGCAGGACGGGGGGAGAGAGTACACAGGTGCAGACGGAGGGAAAGGAGACGAGTACCACAGGGCGACGGAGCGAGAGAGGTTCATGGAGGAGAGGAGTCCACAGGTGCGACGGAGGAGAGAGGATGAGGTAAGTACACAGGTGCAGTCGGGGGAGAGAGTACATACAGGTTTCATTCAGTGCAGACGGGGGAGAGGAGTACACAGGGTGCAGACGGGGGTGAGAGTACACAGGTGCAGACGGAGGGAGGAGTTACAACTGGTGCAGTCGGAAGGAGAGAGGTGTCTGGAGGAGAGAGTCCCACAGGTGCAGACGGAGAGGAGAGAGTACAACAGTGAAGACGGGGGAGGAGAGAACACTGGTGGCAGACGGGGGAGAGGGAGTACACAGGTGCAGATGGGGGAGGAGAGTTACACAGGTGCAGACGGAGGGAGAGAGTTACACAGGTGCGACGGAGGGAGTGGAGGTGTCTGGAGGAGTGGTCCACGGTGCAGACGGAGGAGAGGAGAGAGTACACAGGTGCAAGACGGGGGTGTGAGTACACAGGTGCAGACGGGGGAGGAGTACCAGGTGCAGGACGGGGGGAGAGAGAGTAACAGGTGAAGACGGAGGAGAGAGTAAACAGGTGCGACGGAGGGAGAGAGATGGGTGTCAGGAGGAGGAGAGTCCACAGGTGCAGTCGGAGGAGAGAGTACAGTGCAGACGGGGGTGAGAGGAGAGACGTTTACAAGGTGCAGTCGGGGGAGGAGAGTACACAGGTGCAGAGGGGGAGAGAGTACCAGGTGAAGACGGAGGAGAAGAGAGTACTCAGGTGCAGACGGAGGAGAAGAGGTGTCAGGAGTGTGGAGGGAGAGTCCACAGGAGCAGAGGGGAGAGAGTACACAGGTGCAGGACGGGGGGAGAGGGTACACTGGTTTGCAGACGGTGGGGAGAGAGGTACACAGGTGCAGACGGGGCGAGAGATTACTAGGAGCAGTTCGGAAGGAGTAGAGTCACAGGTCTGCAGACGGGAGGAGAGATGGCGTGCAGGAGGAGAGAGTCCACAGGTGCAGGACGGGAGGAGAGAGTACACAGGTGCAGAGGGGGAAGAGAGAGTACACTGGTGCAGACGGTGGGGGAGAGAGAAGAGAGTACACAGGTGTGACGGGGGCGAGGCGAGTACACAGGTGCAGACGGAGGAGAGAGTACACGGTGCAGACGGAGGAGAGAGGTGTCAGGAGGGAGTGGAGGCACAGGTGCAGACGTGGAGGGGGAGGAGAGATACAACAGTGCCAGTCGGGGGAGAGGAAGAGAGTACACAGGTGCTGACGGGGGGAGAGAGAGAGTACACGGTGCAGACGAGGTGGGAGAGCGTACACAGGTGCAGACGGAGGAGAGAGTACAAGGTGCAGAGGAGGAGGAGAGGGTGTAAGGAGGATGAGAGTCCTAGGGTGCAGACGGGGAGGAGGAGAGTACACAGGTTGCAGGACGGGGGGAGAGAGTACACAGGTGAGGAGGGGTGGAGAGAGTACACAGGTGTGCAGACGGGGGAGAGAGTACACAGGTGCAGACGGAGGTGAGAGTACCCCACAGGTTGCAGACGGAGAGGGAGGGTTGTCCAGGAGGAGAGAGTGAGGAGAGTCAAGGTTGCAGTCGCGAGGAGAGAGTACCAACAGTTGCCAGACGGGGGGAGAAGGGGGGAGAGAGTACACAGGTGCAGACGGAGGTGAGTAGTACACAGGTGCAGGACGGGGGAGAGGGAGAGAGAGAGAGTACACAGGTGCAAATCGGTGGAGAGGTGTACACAGGGTGAGAGGAGGAGAGAGGTGTCAGGAGCGAGAGAGTCCACATGAGTGCAGACGGAGAGGAGAGAGTACACGAGGTGCAGACGGGGGGGAAGAGAGTACACAGAGTGCAGACGGGGGAGAGATTACACAGGTGCAGACGGGGGAAGAGAGCGAGTAACAGGTGCAGACGGAGGAGAGAGTACACAGGGTGAGACGGAGGAGAGAGGTATGTCAGGAGGAGCGCAGTCCACAGGTGCAGAGGTGGAGAGGAGTTCCACAGGTGCAGAAAACGGGGGGTTAGAGGGGAGAGAGTACAACAAGGTGCACAGACGGGGGAGAGAGTACACAGGTGCAGACGGGGGGAGAGAGTACACAGGTGCAGACGGAGGAGAGGTGTACACAGGTGCAGACGGAGGAGAGAGGTGTCAGGAGGACGAGCGTCCACAGGTGCAAGACGGAGGAGGCATGGAGAGAGTAACCAGGTGCAGCGGGGGCGAGAGTACACAGGTGCAGACGGGGAGAGAGTACACAGGTGAAGAGGGGGAGAGAGTACACTAGAGTGCAGACGGAGGAGGAGTACACAGGTGCAGCGGCAGGAGAGAAGGTTGTCCAGGAGGAGAGAGTCCTCAGGTGCAGACGGACGGAGAGTGTACACAGGTTGCAGCGGGGAGAGAGAGTACAAGGTGCAGACGGTGGGAGAGAGTACACACGGTGCAGACGGGGGAGAGAGTTAAAAATCCCCAGGTGCAGGGACGGTAGGAGGAGATTACACAGGTGCAGACGTGAGGGAGAAAGGTGGGTGTCAGGAGGAGAGCCGTCCACAGGTTGCAGACGGAGGAGAGAGTACACGGTTGCAGACTACGAGTGGGGGGAGAGAGTACACAGGAGCAGAGAGGGGGGGGAGAGTACACAGGTGCAGTCGGGGAGAGAGTACCCACAGGTGCAGAAGGAGGAGGGAGTACACAGGTGCAGGGAGAGTGAGGTGTCAGGGGAGAGAGTAAAGTGAAGACGGGAGGCGAGAGTAACAGGTGCAGACGGGGGGGGGAGAGAGTTACACAGGTGCAGGACGGGGGACGAGTAGTACACAGGTTCAGACGGGGGAAGAGAGTACACAGGTTGCAGACGGGAGGAGAGCTACAAGGTGCAGACGGAGGAGAGGAGGTGTCAGGGAGGCGAGAGAGTCTCTCAGGTGCAGACGGAGGGAGAGAGTACACCAGGTGGCAGACGGCGGGAGAGAGTACAGTTCCAGGTGCAGGACGGGGGAGAGTGTAACAAGGTTGCAGTCGGGGGAGAGAGTACACAGGGTTGACAGTCGGAGGAGAGAGTACAAGGTGCAGAGACGTAGGAGAGAGGTGTACAGGAGGAGTAGTGAGTCCACTGGTGCAGTCGGGGAGAGAGTACACAGGTGCAGGTCGGGGGAAGTGAGTACACAGGTGCAGACGGGGGGAGAGTGTACACAGGTGCAGACGGTGGGGAGAGAGAACACTGGTGCAGACGGGGAGAGAGTGACACAGGTGCAGGACGGAGGAGAGAGGTTGTCAGGTGGGAGAGAGTCACAGGGCAGACGGAGGAGAGAGTTACACAGGTGCAGACGGGGGAGAGAGTACCACAGGTAGCTGACGGAGGGAGAGAGTACACAGCGTTGCGGACGGGGGAGGAGTGTACACCAGGTGCCAGCCGGAGAGGGAGAGAGTACACAGATGCAGACGGAGGATGAGAGGTGTCAGGAGGTGAGTAGGTCCACAGGTGCCAGGTCGGAGGAGGGTGTACACAGGTGCGGACGGGGGAGAGAGTACATCAGGTGCAGCGGTGGGGAGAGATTACACAGGTTGCAGCGGGGGTGAGGAGTACACCAGGTGCAGACGGAGGAGAGAGTTACATCAGGTGCAGACGGAGAGTAGAGGTGTCAGGGAGGTAGAGAGTACCACTGGTGCATACGGTAGGGAGAGAGATACACAGGTGCAGACGGGGGGAGAGAGTACACAGGTGCAGACGGGGGAGAGAGTACTCAGGTGCAGACGGGGGGGAGGAGTACACAGGTTGCAGACGGAGGAGAGGAGTACACAGGTGCATGACGGAGGAGAGGGTCTTGTCTGGAGGTGAGAAGTCACTGGTGCAGACGGAGGAAGAGAGAGTACCACAGGTGTCAGACGGGGGAGAATGAGGATGGAGAGAACACAGTGCAGACGGAGGGCAGAGAGAGAGTACCACAGGTGCAGGTCGGGGGAGAGAAGTACACAGGTGCAGGACGGAGGCGAGAGTACACTGGTGCAGACGGATGGAGGAGACTGTGTGTAAGGTGGAGAGTGGCCCACAGGTGCCAGACGGGGGAGAAGAGTACACTGGTGCAGACGGGGGAGAGAGAGAGTACAAGGTGCAGATCGGGAGGGGAACGACGAGAGTACTCACAGGGGCAAGACGGGGGTGAGGGAGTACATCAGGTGCCTGACGCGAGGATCGAGAGAGTACACCCAGGTGACAGACGGAGGAGAGAGGAGAGAGCAGTGAGGTTTCAGAGATGGGTGTTGTTCAGGATGGAGAGAGGTCCACAGGTGCAGACGGGAGGAGAGAGTCACAGGTGCAGGACGGCGGGAGAGAGTCACAGTGCAGACGCGGGGGAGGAGAGTACACAGGTCAGACGGGGGAGGAGAGGGATACACCGGTGCAGACGGAGGGAGGAGTACACAGGTGCAGACGCGAGGAGAGATGGTATGTCAGGGAGGGAGAGAGTCCACAGGTGCTGAAGGAGGAGAGACGTTCACAGGTGCATGTCGGGGGGAGAGGAGTATCACAGGTGCAGAAGGGGGAGAGAGTAACACAGGTGCAGACGGGGGAGAGAGTACACAGGTGCAGACGGAGGAGAGAGTACACAGGTTGCAGACGGAGGAGAGAGGTGTCAGGAGCTGAGAGAGTCCACAGGTGCAGACGGAAGGAGAGGAGTACACAGGTGCAGGAAGGCGCGGGAGAGATTACACAGGTGCGACGGGGGGAGAGAAGTACACAGGTGAGACGGTGGAGAGAGTACACAGGTGGCAGAGGAAGGAGAGAGTACACAGGTGCAGATCGGAGGTGCAGGAGAGAGGTGTCAGGGAGGTGGAGAGTCCCAAGGTGCAGAGGAGGAGTGAGTACACAGGGTGACAGACGGGGGAGAGAGTACACAGGGGCTGGACGGGGGAGAGAGTACACAGGTGCCCAGGACGGGGGAGAGAAGGTACACAGGTGCAGTCGGAGGAGAGTGTACACAGGTGCAGAACGGAGGAGAGAGGTGTCAGGTGGACAGGAGAAGTCCGTCCACAGGTGCAGACGGAGTGGAGAGAGTACACAGGTGCAGACGGGGGAGTAGAGTAACAAGTTGCAGACGGGGCGTGAGTTGTACACTGGTGCGACGGGGGAATGAGCATGTACAACAGGTGACAGACGGTGGAGAGATTGGAGAGAGTACACAGGTGCAGCGGGAGGAGAGAGGTGTCAGGGAGGAAGAGAGAGTTCCACAGGGCAGACGGAGGAGAGGGTAAACAGGTGCCAGACGGGGGAGAAGGAGTACACAGGTGCAGACGGGGGGGGGAGAAGTAGGACACAGGTGTGCAGACGGCGGGAGAGAGTAGCAAGAGTTTGCAGACGGAGACGAGAGTACACCAGGTGCAGTCGTGAGGTGAGGATGGTGTCCAGAGGGAGAGAGTCCACAGGTGCTGTACGGGAGGAGAGAGTACAAGGTGCAGAACGGGGGGTGGAGTACACAGGTGCAGAGGGGGGGGGGGGAGGAGGAGAGAGTACTCAGGTGCAGACGGGGACGAGAGGGAACGAGAGTACACAGGTTGCTGCGGAGGAGAGAGTACACAGCGTGCAGTTACGGTGGATTGTGGTGGTTCAGGAGGATATGAGACGTCCACAGGTGGCAGGAGGGGAGAGAGTACTACAGGTTGCAGCCGTGGGAGAGGAGTACTCAGGGCAAAGACGGGGGGACGAGAGTACACAGGTGCAGTAGGGGGGAGAGAGTACACCAGGTGCAACGGAGGAGAGAGTTACAACAGGTGCGAAGACGGCAGGGAGAGAGGTACCGCAGGAGGAGAGTGTCACAGGTGCAGTCCCGAGGAGAGAGTACACAGTGTCCAGCGGGGGGAGAGAGTACACCAGGTGCAGACGGGGGAGAGAGTACATAGGTGCCAGACGGGGGAGAGAGTACACAGGTGCAGACGGAGGAGAGAGTACAAGGTGAGACGGAGGAGAGCGGTGTGTCAGGAGGAGAGGAGTCACAGGTGCAGGACGGAGGAGAGAGTACAACAGGTTGCAGCGGGGCGAAAGGAGTACACAGTGTGCAGACGGGGGAGGCAGTGTACACAGGTGCAGTCGGGGAGAGGACGTACCACATGTGCAGACAGGTGGAGAGAGTACAAGGTTGCAGAAGGAGGTAGAGAGGTTGTCAGAGGAGAGAGTCCTAGTGCAGACGGAGGAGAGTCGTACACAGGTGCAGACGGGGGAGAGAGGTACACAGGTGCAGCGGGGGAGAGCGTACACTAGGTGCAGACGGGGGACGAGAGTCACAGGTGCAGACGGAGGAGAGAGTACACAGGTGCAGACGGAGGAGAGAGGTGTCAGGAGAGTGAGTCACACAGGTGCAGCGGAGGAGAGGTACCCACAGGTGCAACGGGGGTGAGATGCAGCACAGGTGAGACGGGGCGTGAGTACACAGGTGCAACGGGGGGACGAGAGTACACAGGTGCAGACGGAGGAGAGAGTTACACAGGGTGCAGACGGAGGAGAGGAGGTGTCAGGAGGAGAGGAGTACATAAGGTGCCAGACGGAGGAAGAGAGTAAACGGTGCAGACGGGGGAGAGAAGAGAGTACACAGGTGCAGGACGGCGGGAGAGAGTAACAGGTGCAGACGGGGGAGAGGTACACAGGTGCCAGACGGAGGAGAGAGTACACAGGTGCAGTGGAGGAGAGAGGTGTACGGAGGAGAGAGTCCACAGGGCTGACGGAGGAGAGAGTACACTGGTGCAGACGGGGGAGAGAGTACACAGGTGCAGACGGGGGCAGAGAGTACACATGTGCGACGGGGGAGAGTAGTACACAGGTTGCAGACGGGGAGAGAGTACACAGGTGCAGTACGGGGAGAGATTTGGGTTCGGTGTAAGGAGGAGGAGTGTCACACAGGGCAGACGGAGGATGGTGAGAGTACTCAAGGTGGCAGGAAGGTGGGAAGGGAGTAAAAAGCGAGGGTGCAGACGGGGGGAGAGAGTACTCAGGGTGCAGACGGGGAGATGAGTGTACACAGGTGCCGACGGAGGGAGAGAGTACACAGGTGCAGACGGAGGAGAGAGGTGTTCAGGAGGAGAGAGAGGACAAGGTGCAGACGGGAGGAGAGAGTACACAGGTGCAGGACGGGGGAGAGAGTACACAGGTGCTGACGGGGGATGAGTGTACACAGGTTGCAGACGGCGGGGGGGGGGTAGAGTACACAGGTGCAGACGGAGGGAGAGAGTTTTACACAGGTGCAGACGGAGGAGGTGAGGTGTCAGGAGGAGTGTGTCCACAGGTGCGGACGGAAGGAGAGGTAGTAAAAAGGTGCAGACGGGGGAGCGCGTACACAGTGCAGACGGGGGGAGAGGAGTACACAGGTGCAGACGGGGGAGTGAGAGTCAAAGGTGCAGACGGAAGGAGAGAGTACGGGAGAGAGTACACAGGTGCTGACGGAGGAGAGAGAGAGGTGTCAGGAGGTGAAGAGTCCACTGTGCAGACGGAGGAGAGCGTTCAAAGGTTGCAGAGGTGCGTCGCGGGCGGAGAGTACACAGTGCAGTCGGGGGAGGAGAGTACACAGGTGCAGGACGGGGGGAGAGGGTGTACACAGAGTGCAGACGGAGGAGAGGAGTTTTTTAAAACACAGGTGCAGACGGAGGGAGAGACGGGTCAGGAGGAGAGAGTCCACAGGTGCAGAGGAGGGAGAGTACACAGGTGCAGACGGGGGAGAGGAGTACAAGGATGCAGCCGGGGCGGTGAGAGTACAAAGGTGCAGACGGGGGAGAAGTGTTACACAGGTGCAGACGGAGGAGAGAGTACAAGGTGAGACGGTGGAGAGAGGTGTCATGAGGAGAGAGTCCACATGGGCAGACGGAGGAGAGAGTACACAGGTGCAGACGGGGGAGAGAGTACATCAAGGTGCAGACGTGGGGGCGAGGAGTACACAGGTTGCACAGACGGGGAGGAGAGAGTACAAAGGTGCAGACGGAGGAGAGAGTACACAGGTGCCCGAAGAGGGAGTGAGAGGTGTCCAGGTAGGAGAGAGTCCACAGGTGAGAGGAAAGGAGAGAGTACCACAGGTGCGACGGTGAGAGAGTACACAGAGTGCTAGACGGGGGGGGAGAGAGTACACAGGCTGCAGACGGGGTTGGGAGAGAGTAACACAGGTGACAGACGGTAGGCGCGACGTACACAGTTGCAGACGGAGGAGAGAGGTTGTCAGGAGGAGACGAGTCACAGTGTGCAGACGGAGGATGAGAGTACACAGGTGCAGACGGGGGGAAGAGGTACACAGGCTGCAGACGGGGGAGAGGAGTTACAACAGGGGCAGACGGGGGAGGAGAGTACACTAGTGCAGACGGAGGAGAGGAGTAACAGGTCTGCAGACGGAGGAGAGAGTGTAGGAGGAGAGGAGTCCAACAGGTGCAGCGGGAGGAGTGAGACACAGGTGCAGAGGGGGGAGAGGAGTACACAGGTGCAGACGGGGGAGAGAGTACACAGTGGTTGCAGACGGTGGAGAGATTACACAGGTGCAGACGGAGGAGGAGTGTACACAGGTGCAGACGGAGGAAGTGAGGTGTCAGGAGGAGAGAGTCCACAGGTGACAGACAGGAGGAGAGAATACACAGGTCAGACGGAGGGGAGAGAGTTACCCACAGCGTGCAAAGCGGGGGAGTGAGTACAAGGTGCAGACGGGGGAGAAGAGAGTACAAGGTGCAGACGGAGAGAAGTCAAACAGGAGCAGAAGGCAGGAGAGAGGTGTCAGGAGGTGAAGAGTTCACACCAGGTGCAGACGCCGAGGTGAGAGAGTACACAGGTGCCGACGGGTGGGATTGAGGAAGTACTCAGGGGCAGACGGGGGAGAGAGTTACACTGGTGCAGGACGGGTGAGAGATGTACACAGGTGCAGGACGGTTAGGATGAGAGTACACAGGTGCAGCTGGCAGGCAGAAGAGGTGTCAGGAGGAGAGACGCCACAGTTGCAGCGGAGGAAGAGGAGTACACAGGTGTCAAAGTCACCAAGACCCTGGCAGGGAGAGAGCGCAACACAGGTGCAGACGGGCCGGAGTGAGTTCACAGGTTGCAGGACGGGGTGAGAGAGTACAAGGTGCAGACGGAGGAGAGAGTCAAGGTGCAGAAAGGAGGAGAGAGGTGTCAGGAGGGGATGAGAGTACAGGTTTATCGCAGACGATGAGAGAGTCACAGGTGCACGACACGGGGTGGCGGAGAGTGTAACACAGGGCTAGTCTGGGGGAGAGAGTACAACAGGTGCAGCGGGGGTGAGAGTACACATGTGCAGACGGAGGACGAGAGTAACACAGGTGCTTGACGGAGGAGAGACGGTTGCAGGGCCGAGCGGTACCCTCAGGTTGCCGACGGAGGAGAGAGTACTACAGGTGCAACGGGGTAGAGAGTACACAGGTGCAGACGGGGAGAGAGGTACACAGGTGCAGACGGCCGGGAGAGATGTACACAGGTGCAGGACGGCAGAGAGAGTACACAGGTGCAGACGGAAGGAGAGTGGTCTGTCAGGAGGTGAGAGTCCACAGTGCAGACGGAGGAGAGAGTACACAGGGCAGACGGGGGAGAGAGTACTCAGGTGCAGACGGGGAGGAGTAACAGGTGCAGGACGGGGGATGAGAGTACACAGGGTCGCAGAGGAGGAGAGAGTACCACTGGTGCAGACGGTGGAGAGACGTGTTTGTCAGGAGAGGAAAGAGGAGTCACAGGTGGCAGACGGAGGAGAGAGTGAGTACACAGGTGCGACGGGGGAGATGTGAGTACAAGGTGCAGACGGGGGAGAGAGTACATCTGGTGCAGACGGGGGGGTGAGAGGAGTACACAGTGCAGACGGAGGAAGCAGAGTACACAGGTGCAGTACGGCAGGAGTGAGGTGTCCAAGGAGGAGAGATTCCACAGGATGCCTGACGGAGAGGGAGAGGAGTACACAGGTGCAGTGTCCGGGAGGAGAGAGTACACAGGTGCAGGGACGGGGGAGAGAAGTACACAGGTGCGACGGTGGGAGAGAGTACTACAAGGTGCAGACGGAGGTGAGAGTACACAGGTGCAGACGGCGGAGAGAGGAGTAGGAAGGAGAGAGTCCACAGGTGCAGGTCGGAGGAGAGAGTAACACAGGTGCAGACGGGGGAGAGGTACACAGGTGCAGACGGGGGGGAGTACACGTGCAGACGGGGGAGAGAGTACCACAGGTGCAGACGAGTGGAGAAGTAGTGAGTTCACAGGTGCTGACGTAGTAGAGAGGGTGTCAGGAGGTGAGAGTCCACAGGTGCAGACGGAGGAGAGAGTACACAGAGTGCAGACGGGGGAGAGGATGTACACAGGTGGCAGAGGGGGAAGAGTGTACAGGTTGAGACGGGGGAGAGAGTACACAGTGTGCGACGGAGGAGGGAGAGTACACAGGTGCAGACGGGGGAGAGGTTTCAGGAGGAGAGAGTCCACAGGTGAAGACGGGGAGGGAGTACACAGGGTGCAGTCGGGGGAGAGAGTACACAGGTGCAGAGGGGGAGAGAGTACACGGTGCAGACGGGGGAGAGAGTACACAGGTGCAGGACGGCAGAGAGAGTGTACACAGGTGCAGACGGAGGAGAGAGAGGTGTCCGGAGGAGGGAGGAGTCCACAGGAGCAGACGGAGGACGACAGTCACAGCCAAAAGGTGCAGACGGGGGAGAGACGTAACAGGTGCAGACGGGGGAGAGAGTACAAAGGTGCAGAGGGGGAGGGGGAGAGAGTACACAGGTGCAGTGGAGGAGAGAGTACAAGGTTGCAGACGGTGTAGAGAAGGTGTCCGAGGAGGTGGAGTTCCACAGGTGCAGTCGGGAGGAGAGGAGTACACAGGTGCACGACGGGGGAGAGTGGAGCATGAGAGTACACTAGGTGAAGGACGGGGGAGAGAGTTCTAGGTGCAGACGGGGGAAGAGAGTACACAGGTTGCAGACGGAATGAGAGAGTACACAGGTGCCGACGGTGGGAGACGAGGTGTCAGGTGGCGAGAGTCCACAGGTGCAGCGGAGGAGAGAGTACTAGGTCGCAGACGGGGGAGGAGAGTACAAGGTGCAGGACGGGGGACGAGGAGTACACAGGTGCAGACGGGGGATGAGAGTACACAGGTGCAGACGGGGAGAGAGTACACAGGTGCAGAGGAGGGATAGAGGTGTCAGGAGGAGAGAGTCCACAGGTGCAGAGGAGGAGAGAGTACACAGGTGCAAGACGGGGGATGAGAGTACACAGGTGCAGACGGGGGAGAGAGTACACCAGTGCAGACGGGGGAGGAGAGTACACAGGTGGCAGCCGGAGGAGAGAGTACCCAGGGTGCAGCACGGAGGGAGAGGGTTGTCAGGAGGAGGAGAGTCCCAACAGGTGCAGGACGGAGGAGAGATTTCACATGTGCAGACGGGGAGAGAGTACACAGGTGCAGCGGGTGAGAGCGTTTACACAGGTTGCCAGACGGGGGCTAGTAGTCCCACAGGTGCAGTCGGGGACGAGATGTACACAGGTGCAGACGGGGAGAGATGAGTCTAGGAGGAAGAGAGTCCACAGGTGCAGACGGAGGAGAGAAGAGTACACAGGTGCCAGATGCGGGGACGGAGAGAGAGAGTACACGGTGCAGACGGTGGGAGAGAGTACACAGGTTGCAGACGTGGAGAGAGTACAAGGTGCAGAGGAGGAGAGATACACAGGTGCAGCCGGAGGATGAGAGGAGACAGGAGGTAGAGAGGTCCCACAGAGTGCAAGACGGAGGAGAGAGTTACACAGGGTGCAGACGGGGGAGAGGAGTACACAGTGCAGACGGGGGAGGAGAGTACACAGTGCAGACGGGGGAGGTGTAAAGGTGCAGACGGAGGAAGGAGAGTACACAGGTGTGAGACGGAGGAGAGACGGGTCAGGAGGAGAGAGTTCCCCCCAGTGCAGACGGAGAGGAGCAGTACAATGGTGCAGACGGGCGAGAGAGTACAAAAGGTTTGCAGACGGGGTGAGTGAGTACAAAGGTGCCAGACGGGGGGAGAGAGTCACAGTGCAGAGGAGGAGAGAGTACCACAGCGTCCGTGCAGACGGAGGTCGAGAGTGTCAGGAGGAGAGAGTCCACAGGTGCAGACGGAGGAGAGAGTTACACATGTGCAGATGGGGGAGAGAGCCACCCACCCACCACCACCCTTCCTCCCACGGCGAGGAGAGAGGTGTCAGGGGATGAGTAGTCAAGGTGCAGACGAGGAGGAGAGAGTTGAGAGTACACAGGTTGCTGACGGGGGAGAGAAGTACACAGGTCTGCAGACGGGGGGATTGAGAGTACACAGGTGCAGACTGGAGGGGAGGAAGAGTCAAAGGTGTGCAGACGGAAGGAGAGGAGTACACGGTGCTGACGGGAGGAGAGAGGTGTCAGGAGCGAGAGAGAGAGAGTCCACAGGTGCCAGACGGAGGAAGATAGTTTACACAGGTGCAGACGGGGGGGAGAGTACACAGGTGCAGACGGGGGAGAGAGTACTCAGGTGCAGACGGGGGAGAGAAGTACCACATGGTGCTGACGGGAGGAGAGAGTACAAGGTTTGCAGACGGAGGAGGCAGAGAGGTTTTCAGGAGGGATGAGTGTCCACTGGTGCAGTTCGGAGGAGAGTGTACACAGGTGGCACGACGGGCGGGCGACGGAGTACCACAGGTGCAGACGGGGGAGAGGAGTACACGGTGCAGACGGGGGAGTAGAGTACCCACAGGTGCAGACGGTGGAGAGCCCAGTACACAGGTGCTGCAGAAGGAGGAGAGAGGATGTCAGGGGAGGAGAGAGTCCACAGTGTGCAGACGGAGGAGAGAGTTCACAGGTTGCTGAAAGGGGGAGAGAGTAACACAGGTGCAGACGAGGGGAGAGTGTACTCATGGTGCCGAACGGGGGAGGAGTACTACAGGTGCAGACGGAGGTAGAGAGTACACAGGTGCAGAGGAGGAGAGATTCACGGTGTCAGGAGGAGAGAGGCCACTAGGTGCAGACCGGAGGGGAGTAGGGAGAGAGTACACAGGTGCTGTCGGGGGGTGAGAGTACACAGGTGCAGATCGGGGGTGGAGATACACAAGGTGCAGACGGGGGAGAGAGTACACAAGGTGCAGGTGGAGGAGAGAGTACTACAGGTGCAGACGGAGGAGAGAGGGTGTCAGGGAGGAGGGAGGTCCACAGTGCTGCAGACGGAGTGAGAGAGTAACAGGTGCAGACGGGGGAGAGTGTTACACAGGTGCAGAAGGGGCAGAGAGAGTACACAGGTGCAGACGGGGAGGAGTACACAGGTGCAGATCGGAGCGGAGGAGAGTACACAGGGTGCACAGACGGGAGGAGAGGGGTTGTCAGGAGGAGAGACGCTCCACAGGTGCGGCGGAGGGAGTGTACCACAGGGGCAGTCGGGGGGAGAGAGTACTCAGTGCAGATACGGGGGAACGAGAAGTACACAGGTGCAGACGGGGGAGAGGGTGTTCTAGGGCAGACGGTAAGGTGAAGGGAGTACACAGTGTTGCAGACGGTAGGAGAGAGGTGTCAGGAGTGACGAGAGTCCAAAGGTGCACGACGAGGAGGAGTACACAGGTGCGACGGGGGATGAGAGTACACAGGTGCAGACGGGGGAGAGCGTACACAGGCTGCTAGACGGGGGAGAGGAGATAGTACACACGTGTGGCAGGACGGAGGCGAGAGTACAACAGGTGCAGAGGAGGAGAGTGGTTGTCAGGAGGAGAGAGTCCACAGGTGCAGACGGAGGACGAGAGTACACAGGTTGCAGACGGGGGAGAGTGTACACCAGTGTGCAAGACGGGGGATGAGCGGTACAAAGGTGCGACGGGGGGTGAGTGTACACAGGTGCAGACGGAGGAGAGAGTACACAGGTTGCTGACGAGAGGAGAGTGGTGTCAGGAGGAGAGAGTCCACAGGTGCAGCACGGAGGAGGAGTACACAGGTTGCAGACGGGGGAGAGAGTACAAAGGGCAGACGGCGGGCGGAGAGTACACAGGTGCAGACGGGGGGAGAGAGTACACAGGTGCCAGGCGGTAGGACGAGAGTTTACACAGGTGCAGACGGAGGTGAGAGGTGTCTGGAGGGAGAGAGTTCCACAGGTGCAGACGGAGGAGAGAGTACCACAGGTTGCAGACGGGGGTATAGAGTACACAAGTTGCAGACGGGGGAGGGCAGAGTACACAGGGGCAGACGGTGGGAGAGAGTACAAAGGTGCAGACGGCCAGGAGAGAGTACACAGGTGCAGGACGGGTGAGAGATGGTGTCAGGAGGAGAGAGTCCACAGGGGGCTGAGGAGGATGAGAGTAGGTTACACAGGTGCAGTACGGGGGAGAGTGTACACAGGTGAGACGGGGGAATGAGAGTACACACGGTGAGACGGGGGAGAGATTACAACAGTGCAGACGGAGGAGAGGTACACAGGTGCACGACGGAGAGGGAGAGAGGTGTCAGGAGGAGAGAGTCCCACAGGTGCAGACGGAGGAGAGAGTACAACTGGTGCAGAGGGGACGAGGAGTTACACAGGTGCAGACGGCGGGAGCGAGTACACAGGTGCAGACGGGGGAGAGAGTACACAGGTGCAGACGGAGGAGACGAGTTACACAGGTGCAGCGGAGGAGAGAGGTGTCAGGAGGAGAGCGGTCCCAGGTGCAGACGGAGCTCGAGCGAGTACACAGGTGCCTAGACGGGGATGAGAGTACTACCAGGTGCAGGACGGGGGTGAGAGTACACAGGTGCAGACCGGGGGTGCGAGAGAGTTACAAGGTGCAGACGGAAGGAGAGCGTACACAGGTGCATAGGAGGAGGAGACGGTGTCATGGAGGAGAGAGGTCCTCAGTGTGCAGACGGAGGAGGAGTGTAAAGGTGCAGACGGGGGGAGAGAGTACACGGTGGAGACGGGGGAGGAGTACCACAGGTGCAGAGGGTGAGAGAGTACCACAGGTAGCAGACGGAGGAGAGAGTACACAGGTTGCAGAGGAGGAGCAGAGGGGTCTGGAGGAGGAGAGTCACTGGTGCAGACGGAGCGAGAGAGTACACAGGTTGCAGACGGGGGAGAGAGTACTCAGGTTGCAGATCGGGGGAGAGAGGGGAGGAGGAGTACACCAGGTGCAGGACGGCGGGACGGAGAGAGTACACAGGTGCAGACGGAGGAGGAGAGTACACAGGTGCAGACGGAGGAGGAGGTGTCAGGAGAGAGGTCACAGGTGCAGACGGAGAGTGAGTACACATGTGCAGACGGGGGGAGGAGAGTACAAGGTGCAGACGGGGGAGAGGTACAAGGTGCAGACGGGGGAGAGAGTAACAGGTGCAGACGGAGGAGAGAGTACTACAGGTGCAGACGGAGGAGAGAGGTTGTCCGGAGGAGAGAGGTCCCACAGGGTGCTAGACGGGGTAAGGCGAGAGAGTTACACACTGTTGCAGACGGGGCGAGAGAGTACAAGGTTGCAGACGGGGGACGGAGAGAAGTACACCAGGGCAGACGGGGGAGGAGAGTACACAAGGTGCAGACGGAGGTGAGGGAGTACACAGGTGCAGCGGAGGAGAGATGGTTGTCAGGAGGGAGAGGCCACAGGTGCAGACGAGGAGAGTAGAGAGTACCACAGGTGCAGACGGGGGACGAGAGTACCACAGGTGCAGACGGGGGCTGTGAGTACACAGGTGCAGACTCGGGGGAAGAGAGTAACAGGTGCAGTCGGAAGGGAGAGAGTACACAGGTGCAGACGGAGGTGAGAGGCTTTGTCAGGTGGGGAGAGAGTCCACAGGTGCAGACGGAGGATAGAGAGTACACAGGTGCAGACGGGGAGGAGAGTACAAGGTGCAGACGGGGGAGAGAGTACAACAGTGTTGCAGAAGGGGGAGAGAGTACACAAGGGTGCAGACGGGAGGAGAGGTACACAGGTGCAGACGGAGGAAGAGAGGTGTCAGGAGGAGAGAGTCCCAGGTGCAGACGGAGGAGAGAGTCACAGGTGCAGACGGGGGAGAGAGTACACAGGTGCAGTCGGGGGAGCCGAGAGTACACAGGTGCAGAGGGGGTGAGAGTACACAGGTGCAGACGGAGGAGAAGAGAGTACACAGGTGCAGACGGAAGGAGAGAGGTGGCAGGGAGTGAGAGAGTCCACAGTTGCAGACGGAGGAAAGAGTACACAGGTGCAGACGGGGGAGAGAGTCACTCAGGTGCAGACGGGGGAGAGATGTACACAGGTGCAGACGGCGTGAGAAGGGGTATTACACAGGTGCAGACGGAGGTGAGAGTACACTAGGAGCAGACGGAGAGAGAGGTGTCAGGAGGAGAGAGTCCACAGGTGCAGACGGAGGAGAGAGTACACTGTGCGACGGTGGATGAGAGTACACTGTGCAGGAAGGGGGAGAGATTACACAGGTGCAGGACGTGGGGAGAAGAGTACACAGGTGCCCCAGAACTGGAAAGGAGAGAGTTCACCGGTGCAGGAGGATGGAGGAGAGGTGTCAGGAGGTGAGAGTCCACAGGTGCTAGACAGGAGGTGAGAGTACACAGGTGCAGACGGGGCGGAGAGAGTACACATGGTGCAGACGGCGGGTTGAGAGTACACAGGTGCAGACGGGGGGAGAGTGTACACAGGTGGCAGGACGGAGAAATAAGAGAGTACACAGGTGCAGACGGAGGAGAGAGGTGTCAGGAGGAGAGAGGTCCTCACGTGCAGACCGGAGGAGAGAGTACACGGTTGCAGTTGGGGGGGAGAGAGGACACCAGGTAGCAGATCGGGGGAGAGAGTACACTGGGGCTTGACGGGGAGAGAGGACACAGGTGCAAGACGAGGAGAGAGTACAAAGGTGAGACGGAGGAGAGAGTGTCAGGAGGAGAGAGTCCACAGTGCTAGACGGAGGAGAGAGTACAACCAGGTGCAGACGCCGTGGGAGAGGGTACAAGGTGCAGACGGGGGAGAGATTTACCAGGTGCAGCGGGGTTGAGAGTACACAGGTGCAGACGGAGGAGAGTGTACACCAGGTGCAGACAGGGAGGAGAGATGGGTGTCAGGAGGTGAGATCCACAGGTGCAGGACGGAGAGTGAGTACACATGGTCGCAGACGGGGGGTGGAGGGGAGAGGTTCAAAGGTGCAGACGGGGGGAGCAGAGTACACAGGTGCTGACGGGGGAGGGAGAGTACACAGGTGCAGACGGTGGAGAGAGTACCACAGGGCAGACGGAGGAGAGAGTGTCAGGAGGAGGAGGAGTCCACAGGTGCAGACGGTAGGTGAGTAGTAACAGGTGCAGACGGGGGGAAGCGTACAAAGGTGCGAGGGGAGAGAGAGTACACAGGTGCAGAAGGTGGGAGGGAGAGTACAACAGGTGCAGACGGAGGAGAGAGTTCCACAGGGCAGACGGAGGACGAGAGGGTCAGGAGGAGAGAGTCCACACGGTGCAGACGGAGGAGAGAGTACACTGGTGCAGACCGGGGGAGAGGAGAGGAGTCTCAGCGTATGAGGACTGGGGGAGAGAGTACACAGGTGCAGACGGGGGCGGAGAGTACACAGGTGAGGACGAGGAGAGAGTACACAGGTTTTGCAGACGGAGGAGAGCGGTCGTTCAGGAGGAGAGAGTCACAGGTGCAGTCGGAGGAGAGAGTACACTGGTGCAGTCAGGGGAGAGAGTACACAGGTGCAGACGGGGGAGAGAGAGAGAGTACACAGGTGCAGACGGGGGACGAGAGCAAACAGGTGCAGACGGAGGAAGAGAGTACACAGGTGCAGACGGAGGAGAGAAGGTGTCAGGAGGAGAGAGTCACATGCGTTGCAGAGGACGGGAGAGAGTACCACAGGTGCAGACGGGGGGCGGTGAAGAGTGGTACAACAGGTGCGACGGGGGAGAGAGTACACAGGTTCAGACGGGGGTGAGGAGTAAAGGTGGCAGACTGGCGGGACGAGAGTGACACAGGTGCAGCACGGAGGAGAGTGTGTCAGGAGGAGAGAGTCCACAGGTGCTGACGGAGGAGTGAGTCTCAGTGCAGACGGCGGGAGAGAGGTACACAGGTGCAGACGGGGGAGAGAGTTTCCACAGGTGCAGGACGGCGGGAGAGAGTTACCACAGGTGCAGACGGGAGGAGAGAGTTAACCGGTGCAGACGGAGGAGTGACGGGTGTAAGGAGGAAAGAGGTAGGAGAGTCCACAGGTGCAGCACGGAGGAGAGAGTTACACTTGGTGCTGACGGGGGAGAGAGTACACAGGTGCAGGACGCGGGGAGAGAGTACATAGTGCAGACGACCGGAGGTGAGAGGTGTACACAGTGCAGACGGAGGAGAGAGTACCAGGATGCTGAGGAGGCGAGGGAGAGAGGTGTCAGGCGGAGAGAGTCCACAGGTGAAGACGGAGGAGAGAGTACACGGGTGCAGAAGGGGCGAAGAGTACACCGGGATGCAGACCGGGGGAGGGAGAGAACACAGGTGCAGAAGGGGGGAGAGAGAGTACACAGGTGCAAGACGGAGGTAGGAGGAGTACACAGGTGCAGACGGAGGAGAGAGGTGTCAGGAGGGGAGAGTCCCAGGTTGCAGACGGAGGGGATGAGAGTAAACAGGTGCAGAAGGGGGAGGAGAGGGGGAGAGAGAACACAGGTGCAGACGGGGGAGTGAAGTACACAGGTGAAGACGGGGGTGAGAGTACACAGGTGCAGAGGAGGGAGGAGTCCACAGGCTGCAGAAGGTAGGAGTGAGGTGTCAGGAGGAGAGCGGGCCACAGGTGCAGACGGAGGAGAGTGTACACAGGTGCAGACGGCGGGGAGATGAGTACACAGGTGCAGACGGGGGAGAGTAGTTTCACAGGTGCAGACGGGGGAGGAGTACACAGGTGCAGACTGGAGGAGAGAGTACACAAGGTGCAGAAGGAGGAGAGAAGGAGTCAGGTAAGGAAGAGAGAGTCCCACGGTGCAGACGGAGGTGGAGTACACAGGTTGCAGACGGGGTGGATGAGAGTAACAGGTGCGGAGTGGGGAGTGTACAAGGTGCTGGTACGGTGGGAGAGAGTACACGGTGCGAGACGGAGGAATCCGAGAGTTAACACAGGTGCAGACGGAGGGTGAGAGTGTCAGGAGGAGAGGTGTCCACAGGTGCAGGGGAGGAGTGGAGGAGAGAGTACAACAGGTGCACGACGGGGGAGAGAGTACACAGGTGCAGGAACGGGGGGAGAGGAGTACACAGGTGCAGGACGTGGGAGAGAGTAACACCAGGTGCAGACGGAGGGAGAGAGTACACAGGGTGCAGAGGAAAGGAGAGTTTAGAGAGGATGTCAGGAAGGAGAGAGTCCACAGGTGCAGACGGAGGAGAGAGTACACAGGTGCAGACGGGGGAGTGCGTACAACAGGTGCAGACGGCGGAGAGAGTAACAGGTGCAGGACGGGGGGGAGAGAGTAACTGGTGCAGACGGAAGGAGAGAGTACTCAGGTGCAGACTGGGACGGATGGAGAGGATGGTGTTCAGAGGAGAGAGTCCCACAGGTGCAGACGGAGGAGAGAGTACTCAGGTGCAGAACGGGGGGAGAGGAGTACACCTGGTGCAGGACGGGGGAGAGAGTACACAGGTGCAGATCGGGGGATAGAGTACACAGGTGCAGACGGAGGAGGAGGAGTACACAGGTGCAGACGGAGGAGAGAGGTGTCAGGAGGAGATGTCCACAGGTGCCAGACGGAGGAGAGAGTACACAGGTGCAGAAAAACGGGGGGAGAGGGACACAGGTGCTGACGGGGGAGAGAGTACCCACAGGTGCAGAAGACGGGGAGAGAGTACACAGGTGCAGACGCGAGGAGAGAGTTACACAGGTGCAGACGGAGGGAGAGGTGTCAGGAGAGAGAGTCCAAGGTGCGCGGAGGAGAAGAGTATCTACAGGTGCAGAAGGGGGGTGAGATTACACAGGTGCAGACGAGTGGAGAGAGTTCACAGGTGCTGACGGGGGAGAGAGTAAACAGGATGCAGCGGAGGTGTGGAGTACACAGGTGCAAGAGGTGGAGAGACGGTGTCAGGAGGAGGAGGAGTCACAGGTGCACGACGGAGGACGGAGTACACAGGTGCAGGACGGGGGGAGAGAGTAACACAGGTGCAGGACGGGGGAGAGGTACACAGGTGCAGGGCGGGAGAGAGTTCACAGTGCAGACGGAGAGGAGAGGAGTACACAGGTGCAGACGGAGGAGAGGACGTGTTGGAGGAGAGATGTGCAACAGGTGCAGTCGGAGGAGAGCGTACACAGGTGCAGACGGGGGAAGAGAGTACACAGGTGCTGACGGGGGAGAGAGTACAACAGGTGCAGACGGGGGAGAGAGTACACAGGTGCAGACGGAGGAGAGAGTATCACAGGGTGCAGTCGGAGGAAGAGAGGTGTCAGGAGGGAGAGAGTCTCCACAGGTTGCTGAGGAGGAGTGAGTACACAGGTGCAGACGGGGGGGGAGAGAGTACACAGGTGAAGACGGCTCGGGGAGAGAGTACACTAGGTGCAGACGGGGGCAGAGAGGACACAGGTGCAGACGCGAGGAGAGAGTTACACAGGTGCAGGACGGAGGAGAGAGGTGTCGGAGGGAGAGAGTCCACAGGGTGCAGACGCGAGGACGAGGAGTACACAGTGCAGACGGGGCGAGAGAGTACAAATGGGTGCAAAGACGGGAGGAGAGAGTACACAGGTGCAGACGGGGGAGAGAGTACACAGGTGCAGACGGAGAGAGAGTACACAGGTGCAGACGGAGGGAGAGAGGTGTACAGGGAGGAAGACGAGTCCCACAGGTTGCAGACGGAGGAAGAGAGTACACACGGTGCAGACGGGGGTGAGGAGAGTAACAGGTGCAGACGGGGGTGAGAGTACACAGGTGCAGACGGGGGGGAGAGAGTACACAGGAGCTGACGGAGGAGCAGAGTACACAGGTGCAGAGGAGGAGAGAGGTTGTCAGGAGGAGAGAGTCCTCAGGTAGCAGACGGAGGAGATGTGTACACAGGTGCCAGACGGCGGAGAGGTACTACAGGTGCAGACGGGGGAGAGAGTACACAGGTGCAGACGGGGGAGAGAGTACACAGGTGCAGACGGAGTAGGAGAGAGTACACACGGTGCAGACGGAGGAGGAGGTGTAAGCGAGGAGAGCAGGTCCACAGGCTGCAGTACGGAGGAGGAGAGTACACGGTGCCGACGGGGGAGAGAGTACTCTGGTTGCAGACGGCCGGGAGAGAGTACACAGGTGCCGACGGGGGAGTGAGTACAAGTGCAGACGGAGGAGAGACGTACTCAGGCTGCTGACGGAGGAGAGATGGGGTCAGGAGGGAGAGGTCCTCAGGTGCAGACGGTGGTAGAGAGTACCACAGGTGCAGACGGGGGAGGTGTACACAGGTGCAGGTCGGGGGAGATGGTACACAGGTTTTCAGACGGAGGGACGGTGAGTAAACAGGTGCAGACGGAGGAGAGAGTACACATGGTGCAGACGGAGGAGGAGAGGTAGTCAGGAGGAGAGAGTCCACAGGTGCAGACGGACAGGAGAGAGTTACACTGGTGGGCAGAAGGGGAGAGATCTACACAGGTGACAGACTGGGGAGAGAGTAAAACAGGGTTTGCAGACGGGGGAGAGAGTATACAGGTGCAGACGGAGGGAGGAGAGTACACGGTGCAGACGGTGAGATGAGGGTGTTCCAGGAGGAGAGAGTCCACAGGTGCAGACGGAGAGGAGAGGTACAAAAGGTTGCAGGACGGTGGGAGGAGATGTCAAGGTGCACCTGCCGGTGGGAGAGGTACACAGGTGCAGACGGGGGAGGAGTGTACCACAGGTGCAGGACGGAGGAGAGAGTACCAGTGCAGACGGAGGACGAGAGGGTGGTCAGGTGGAGAGAGTCCACAGGTGCAGACGGAGGAGAGAGTACACGGTGCTGACGGGGGGGGAGAGTACACAGGTGCAAGACGGGGGAGAGATTACACAGCGTGCAAGACGGGGACGAGAGTAAACAGGGCAGAGGAGGTGAGAGGACTACAGGTGCAAGACGGATGGAGTCGGAGGTGTCAGGAGGTGAGAGTCCAAAGGTGCAGACGGAAGGAAGGAGAGAGCTACTGGTGCAAGAAGGGGGCGAGAGTACACATGCGTGCAGAACGGGGGGAGGAGAGTACCACCAGGATTGCAGACGGGGGAGAGAGTACACAGGTGCAGACGGAGGAGAAGTTACACCTGGTGCGACGGAGGAGAGAGGTGTCAGGGATGGAGAGAGTCCACAGGTGCTGACCGGAGAGAGAGTACACAGGTGCAGACGGGGGAGGAGGTACACAGGTGCAGACGGGGCGGTGAGGAGTACCACAGGTGCGACGGGGGAGAGAGTACAAAGGTGCAGACGGAGGAGAGAGTACACAGGCTGCCAGACGGAGGAGGAGATGTGTCAGGAGGGAGAGAGTCCACATGGTGCAGACGGAGGACAGTCGAGAGTAAACAGGTGCAGACGGGGGAGAGAGTAACAGATGAGATCGGGGGAGAGAGTTACACCAGGTGCTGACGGGGGGATGAGAGTACACAGGTGCAGACGGAGGAGTGAGTACTCAGGTGAGACGAGCGAGAGATGGTGTCAGGTGGAAGAGAGTCACAGGTGCTGGCCGGAGGAGAGAGTACACAGGTGCTGACGGGGGGAGAGGAGTACACAGGTGCAGACGGGGGAGAGAGTACACATGGTGCCACGAGGGGAGAGTGTACCAAAGGGTGCAGACGGAGGAGGTGAGTACCAGGTGCAGACGGAGGAGAGAGGTGTCAGGAGTGTAAGAGAGTCACAGGTGCATGACGGAGGAGAGAGTCACACAGGTGCGAACGGGGGAAGAAGTACACAGGTTGCAGACGGGGGTGGAGTACACAGGTGCAGGTCGGGGGAGAGATGTACACAGGTTGCAAGGACGGAGGACGAGAGTACACAGGTGTCAGGAAGAGGAGAGAGGGTGTCAGGGAGAGAGAGGTCCACAGGTGCAGAGGAGGAGGAGAGTACACAGGTGCAGAGGGGGAGTGATGTACACAGGTGCTGAGGGGGAGAGAGTACACAGGGGCAGACGGCGGGAGAGGAGTAACACAGGTGCAGACCGGCTGGAGAGAGTACACCGGATGCAGTCGGAGGAGAGAGGTGTCAGGGAGGAAGTGCGTTCCACAGGTGCAGAACGGAGGCGAGGTACCACAGGTGCAGACGGGGGAGAGAGTACACAGGTGCAGACGGGGGAGAGAGTCACTGGTGCAGACGGGGGAGAGAGTACACAGGTGCAGTAGGAGGAGAGAGTACTAAGGTTGCAGACTGGAGGAGAGAGGTGTCAGGAAGTGAGAGAGTCCACGGTCGCAGACGGAGGAGAGAGTACACAGGTGCCAGACGGGGGAGAGATGTACAACAGGTGAAGACGGGGGGACGAGAGGTACACGGGTGCAGACGGGGGAGAGAGTACACTGGTGCTGACGGAAGGAGAGACGTCACAGTGTGCAGACGGAGGAAGAGTGGTGTTCAGGAGGAGAGTGTCCACAGGTGCAGACGGATAGGGACGAGAGTTCACAGGTGCGCAGACGGGGGAGAGAGTACAAAGGTTCAGACGGGCGGGAGAGAGTACACAGGTTGCAGACGGGAGGGAGAGAGTACAAAGGTGCAGACGGAGGAGAGAGTACACAGGTGCCAGACGACGGAGAGAGGGTGTCAGGGAGGAGAGAGTCCAAGGTGCAGTCGGAGGAGGTGTACCAGGTGCAGAGGGGGAGAGAGTACACAGGGGCAGACGGGGGATGAGCGTACACAGGTGCAGACGGGGCGTCGGAGAGAGTACAAGGTGCAGACGGACGGAGAAGTCGTCCACAGGGTGCAGACGGTGGAGAGAGGGTGTCAGGAGGAACGGAGAGTCCACAGGTGCAGACGGAGAGGGAGTAAACAGGTGCGACGGGGGGAGAGAGTACACAGGTGCAGACGGGGGAGAAGATGTAGTACACAGGTGGCAGACGGGGGGAGAGAGAGTTAAACAGTGCAGACGGAGGAGAGAAAGAGAGTACCACTGGTGGCAGGACGGAGGTGAGAGGTGTCAGGAGGAGAGTGTCCAAGGTGCACGACGGAAGGACGAGTGTACACAGGTCGCAGACGGGGGAGAGAGTAACAGGTGAAGACGGGGAGAAGTGTACACAGGTGTGCCGACGGGGGAGAGAGTAACACAGGTGCAGCACGCGAGGAGGGAGAGTACACAGGTGCAGACGGAGGAGGAGGTGTCAGGAGGTAGAGACGTCCACAGGTTGCAGACGGAGGAGAGAGTACACAGGTGCAGACGGGGGGAGAGTACACAGGTTGCCAGGACTGGGGGAGGAGAGAGTTACACAGGTTGCAGAGGGGGAAGAGGTACAAAGGTGCAGGACGGAGGAGGAGAGTACACAGGTGGCAGACGGAGGAGATGAGGTTGTCAGGAGGAGAGAGTACACTGGTGCTGACGGAAGGAGAGGAGTACCACACGTGTGCAGACGGGGGGGAGAGAGTACAAGGTGCGAGGGGGAGAGAGTACACAGGTGCGACGGGGGAGAGGAGGAGTACCTCACGGTGCAGACGGAAGGATAGGAGGTGGAGAGAGTACTCAGGTGCAGCGGGAGGAGAGAGGTGTCAGAGGAGAGAGTCCACAGGTGCCAGGACGGTGGAGAGAGTTACCACAGGTGCGAGACGGGGGAAGAGAGTACTCAGGTGCTCGACGGGGAGAGAGTACACAGGTTTCGCAAGACGGGGCGAAGAGTGTACACAGGTGCAGACCGGCAAGGAGAGAGTACTAAGGTGCAGTACGAGGAGAGAGGCTGTAGGTGGAGAGGAGTTTCCCACAGGTGCGACGGAGAGAGAGTACACAGGTGCAGACGGGGGATGGAGAGTACACAGTGCAGACGGGGGAGAGAGTACACAGGTGCCAGACTGGGTGAGAGAGTACACAGTGCTAGACGGAGCGATGAGAGTACCACAGGTGCTGACGGAGGAGAGAGGTGTCAGGGTGGGAGAGAGTCCACTGGTGCAGACGGAGGAGAGAGTACACCAGGTGCTGACGGGGAGAGTAGTTCACAGGAGCACTGCGCGGGAGAGAGTTCACAGGTGCAGACGGGGGAGGAGTACACAGGGCAGACGGAGGAGAGAGTACACAGGTGCAGAGGGGAGGAGGTGTTTGGAGGAGAGACGTGTCCAAGGTGCAGACGGAGGAGAGAGTACACCAGGTGTAGACGGCGGGAGAGAGTACACAGGTGCAGGACGGGGGAGAGAGTTACACAGGGGCAGAGCGGGAGAGAGTACACAGGTGCAGACGGAGGAGAGAGTACACAGGTGCAGACGGAGGAGAGAGGTGTCAGGAGGAGGAGAGTCACAGGTGCTGAACGGAGGAGAGATGTAACAGGTTGCAAGACGGGGGAGGAGAGTACAAAGGTGCAGACGGGGGACGAGAGTACACAGTCGAGACGGGGTGAGAGAGTACACAGGTTGCAGACGGACAGGAGAGAGTACCATAGGTGCAGGGTGGAGGGGGGAGGCCTGTAGGCGGGGAGAGTCCACAGGTGCAGTCGGGGAGAGAGGTACACAGGTGCAGACGGGGGAGGAGACGTACACAGTGCGACGGGGGAGAGGAGTACAACAGGTGCAGACGGGGGAGAGAGTACACTAGGTGCAGATCGGAGGAGGAGAGTACACAGGTGCTGAAGGAGGAGAGACGGTGTCAGGAGGAGAGAGTCCAAGGTGCAGACGGAGGAGAGGAGTACACAGTCTGCAGACGGGGGAGAGAGTACACAGGTTGCTGGAGGGGGGAGAGAGTACACAGGTGCAGACGTGGGGAGAGTTTTACACAGTGCAGACGGAGGAGGAGTACACAGGTGCGACGCAGAGGAGAGAGGTGTCCAGGCGGATGAGACCACAGGTGCAAGACGGGAGGAGAGAGTACACAGGTGCCGACGGGGGATGGGAGTAACACAGGTGCAGACGGGGGAGAAGAGTACTCAGGTGCAGACGGGGGAGAGGTACACAGGTGCAGAGGTGGAGAGAGTTACACAGGTGCAGAGGAGGAGAGAGGTGTCAGGAGGAGAGAAGAGAGTCCACAGGTGCAGACGGAGAGAGAGTACACAGGTTGCAGACGGGGGAGAGAGTACACTGGCGCAGACGGGGGAGAGAGTACACAGGTGCAGACGGGGAGAGTAGCGTACACAGGTGCAGACGGAAGGAGTGAGTAACAGGTGCAGGACGGAGGAGAGAAGAGAGGACGTCAGGAAGGAGAGAGTCCACAGGCAGTGCGCGGAGGAGGAGAGAGTACACAGGTGCTGACGGGGAGAGAGTACACAGGTGCAGGACGGGGGAGAGAGTACACAGGTGCAGACGGGGGAGAGAGTACACAAGGTGCAGACGGGACGGAGAGAGTAACAGGTGCTGCACCGGAGGCGAGAGGTTTTCAGGCTGGAGAAGTCCACAGATGCAGACGGAAGGAGAGAGTAACAGGTTGTCAGACGGGTGAGAGTGTACACAGGTGCAGGACGGGGGGAGAGAGTTACACAGGTGCAGACGGGGGATGAAGGGGTACACAGGTGCGAGGAGGAGAGAGTACACAGGTGCAGACGGAGGAGAGGAGGTGTCAGGAGGAGAGAGGCCACAGGTGCAGACGGAGGATGGCGGAGGTACACAGGTGCAGACGGGGGAGAGAGATACAAAGGTGCAGACGGGGGGAGAGAGTACACAGGTGCAGTCGGGGAGGAGTACACAGGTGCCAGAGGAGGAGAGAGTACACAGGTGCAGACCGGAGGAGGAGAGGTGTTCAGGAGGAGAGAGTCCACAGGTGCAGACGGAAGGAGAGAGTACACAGTGCAGTACGGGGGAGAGAGAGCAGTACACAGGTGCTGGACGGGGGAGAGAGTACACAGGTGCAGACGGGGGAGCGAGAGTACTAGGTGCAGACGGAGGCAGAGAGTACCAGGTGCAGACGGAGGGAGGAGAGGGTGTTTCAGGAGGAGAGAGTCCACAGGTGCAACGGAAGGAGAGCGTACAGGTGCAGACCGGGGGGGAGAGAGTAACCAGGTGCAGGACGGGGGAGAGAGTACACAGGTTGTAGACGGGGGAGTGGAGTACACAGGGGCAGACGGGGAGAGAAGTACAATGGTGCAGCCGGAGGAGAGCGGTGTCAGCGAGGAGAGAGTCCACAGGTGCAGACGGAGGAGAGAGTTACAAGGTGCAGACGGGGGGAGAGAGTACACAGGTGCAAGAACGGGGGGGAGAGAGTACACAGGTGCTGACGGGGGAGGAGAGTACAACAGGTGCGACGGAGGAGAGGAGTAAACAGGTGCAGACGGTGGAGAGAGGTCCCGTCAGGAGGTGAGAGTCCACAGGTGCAGACGGAGGAGAGAGTACCACAGGTGCCGGACGGGGGAGAGTGCTCACAGGTGGCAGACGGGGGAGAGAGTTACAGGTGCAGCCGGGCGGGAGAGAGTACACAGGTGCAGACGGAGGAGAGAGTACAAGGTGCAGACGGAGGGAGAGGAGGTGTCAGGAGGAGAGGAGTCCACAGGTGCAGACGGAGGAGAGAGTACACAGGTGCAGAGGGGGATGAGAGTTTCACAGGTGCAGACGGGGGACGAGGTACAAAGGTGCAGACGGGGGGAGAGAGTACACCAGGTGCAGACGGAGGAGAGGAGTAAGTACACAGGTGCAGCGGAGGAGGAGGAGGGTGTTCAGGAGGAGAGAGTAGAGAGTCCTACAGGTGCAGACGGAGGAGGAGAGTACACAGGTGCGAAGGGGGAGAGAGTACACATGGTGCTGAGGGGGAGAGTGTTACACTGGTGCAGGACGGGGGAGAGTGTTCACAGGGCAGACGGAGGAGAGAGACACAGGTTGCAGACGGATGGAGGAGAGGTGTCAGGAGGACGGAGAGTCACACAGGTGCAGACGAGGAGAGAAGTACACTGGTGCAGACGGGGGAGAGAAGAGAGTACACAGGTGCAGACGGGGGAGAGAGTACACACGGTGCAGACGGGGGAGAGAGTACCACAGGTGCAGACGGTGGAGAGAGTTACACAGGTGCAGACGGAGGAGAGAGGTGTAAGGCACGGAGAGATAGAGTCCACAGGTGCAGACGGTGGAGAGAGTTTCACAGGTGCAGACGGGGGAGAGAGTACACGGTGCAGACGGGGGAGAGAGTACACTGGTGCAGACGGGGGAGAGAGTACCACAGGTGCAGACGGAGGAGAGAGTACACAGGTGCAGGACGGAGGAGAGAGGTGTCAGGAGGAGAGGTCCACAGGTGCAGACGGAGGAGAGGTACAAGGTGCGACGGGGGAGAGGAGGTACACAGGTGCAGACGGGGGAGAGAGTACACAGGTGCAGCTCGGGGGAGAGAGTACACAGGTGCTGACGGAGAGAGAGTACACAGGTGCAGACGGAGGAGAGAGGTGTAAGGAGGAGAGAGTCCACAGGTTGCAGACGGAGGAGAGAGTAACAGGTGCAGACGGGGTGAGTGTGGTGCACAGGTGCAGTACGGGGGAGAGGTACACAGGTGCAGACGGGGGAGAGAGTTCACAGGTTGCAGACGGAGGATGAGTGTTACACAGGTGCAGACGGTAGGAGAGAGGTTTTCAGGAGGAAGAGAGGTCCACAGGTGCAGACGGAGGAGAGAGTACAACAGGTGCAGAGGGGGGCGAGAGAGTACACAGGTGCAGACGGGGGAGAGAGTACACAGGTGCAGACGGGGGGAGAGAGTTCACAGGTGCAGACGGAGGAGAGAATAACAGGTGCGACGGAGGAGAGAGGGTGTCAGGAGGAGAGCGTCACAGGTGCAGACGGAGGAGAGAGGTTACACAGGTGCAGACGGGGGAGAGAGGTAAACACAGGTGCAGACGGGGGGAGAGAGTACTCAGGTGGGCAGACGGGGTGAGAGATTACACAGTGCAGACGGACGGAGACGGAGTACACAGGTGCGACGGAGGAGAGAACGGTGGTAGGAGGAGAGAGTCCACAGGTGCAGACGGAGGATGAGAGTACACAGGTGCAGGACGGGGGCGAGAGAGTACACAGGTGCAGACGGGGGAGGGCGCGAGATGAGTCACAGTGTGGCAGACGGGGGAGAAGCAGAGAGTACTATCAGGTGCTGACCGGGAGGAGAGAGTTTACAAAGGTGCAGACGGAGGAGAGGAGGTGTAGGAGGAGAGAGTCCACAGGTGCAGACTGGAGGAAGGTTACACAAGGTGCGACGGGGGAGGAGTACAAGGTGCAGGCGACGGGGGAAGAGAGTACACTGGTGCAAGCCGGGGTGAGAGCGTACCACAGGTGCAGACGGAGGAGAGGAGTTACAACAGGGTGCAGTCGGGAAGGAGAGAGGTTGTGTCAGGAGGAGAGAGTCCACAGGTGCAGCACGGTGGAGAGAGTACACAGGTGCATGCCGGGGAGAGAGTACACAGGTGCATGACGGGGGAGAGAGTACCACAGGTGCAGGAGGGGGAGAGAGTACACAGGTGCAGAAGGAAGGAGAGATTACACAGGTGCAGCGGAGGAGAGAGGGTGTCCAGGAGGAGAGGAGTCCACAGGTGCAGACGGAGGAGAGAGTACACAGGTGCAGAGGGGATTGGAGAGTACACAGGTGCCTGCAGGACGGGGGAGTGAGTACAAAGGTGCTACGGGGGAGAGAGTACACTGGTGCAGAGGAGGGAGAGTACAAGGTGCAGACGGAGGAGAGAGGTGTCTGGAGGAGAGGTCTCCACAGGTGCAGACGGTGGAGGAGAGAGTACCCAGGTGCAGACGGGGGAGAGAGTACAAAGGTGCAGTCGGGGGAGCAGAAGTACACAGGTGCAGGACGGGGGAGTGAGTACACAGGTGCAGACGGAGGAGGAGAGTACACAGGTGCAGACGGATGGAGAGAGGTGCCCAGGAGGAGAAGTACGTCCACAGGTGCAGGCACGGGAGGAGAGAGTACACAGGTGCAGACGGGGGGAGAGAGTACTACAGGTGCATCTCGGGGGAGAGAGAGAGACTACCACAGGTTGCCAGACGGGGGAGAGAGTACACAGGAGCAGACGGAGGAAGAGAGTACACAGGTGCAGCCGGAGGGGAGAGGTGTCAGGGAGAGCGAGGTCACAGGTGACGGACGGAGGCAGAGAGTAAACAGGTGACAGACGGGGGAGAGAGAGTACACAGGTGCAGTCGGGTCCCCAGGGGAGGGAGAGTACACAGGTGCAGACGGGGGAGAGCGTATACCCAGGTGAGACGGAGGAGAGAGTACACAGGTGCAGACGGAGGCGTGAGGTGTCAGGAGGAGAGGAGTCCACAGGTGCAGACGGAGGAGGAGAGAGTTACACAGGTGCAGAGGGGGAGAGAGTACACAGGTGCAGACGGGGGAGAGGAGTACACAGGTGCAGACGGTCGGAGAGAGTACCACAGGTTGCAGACGGTGAGAGAGTACCACATGTAGCAGACGGAGGAGAGAGGTGTAAGGAGGAGGAGAGTCCTACGGGCAGACGGAGGAGAGAGTACCACGGGTGCAGTAGGGGAGAGGTTCATGGTGCAGACGGCGGAGAGAGTTACACAGGTTTGCAGAGGGGGGAGGAGTTACACAGGTGCAGACGGAGGAGAGTGTACCAGGTGCAGACGGAGCCGATGAGTCGGTGTCAGGAGGAGAGTGTCCACAGGTGCAGACGGAGGAGAGAAGTACACAGGTGCAGACGGGGGGAGGAGAGTACAAGGTTGCAGACGGGGCGGGAGAGAGTAAACAGGGGCAGGAGGGGGAGAGAGTACACAGGTGCGGACGGCAGGAGAGAGTGTACACAGGTCAGACGAGAGGAGAGATGCGTTGTTTCAGTATAGAGGAGAGAGTCCACAGGTGCAGACGGAGGAGAGAGTACACAGGTGCAGACGGGGGAGAGAGTTACCAAGGTGCGACGGGGGAGAGAGTACACAGGTGCAAGGACGGGGGGGGGGGATGAGAGTACACAGGTGCAGACGGAGGAGAGAGTTACCACAGGTGCAGGGAGGAGAGATGTTGTCAGGAGGAGAGAGTCCACAGGTGCAGACGGAGGAGAGAGTACACTGGTGCAGACGCGGGGGAGAGAGTTCACAGGTGCTGACGGGGGAGGGAGAGGGTACACCAGGTGCAGCACTGGGTGCAGAGAGAGTACACTGTGCAGACGGAGGAGAGAGTATACACAGGTTGCAGCCGGAGGGAGAGAGAGGTTGTCAGGAGGAGGAGTAGTCCACACGGTGCTGACGGAGGAGGTGAGTATCACAGGTGCAGCGGGGGAGAGAGTACACAGGTGCAGACGGTGGAGAGAGTACACAGGTGCAGGACGGGGGAGACGAGTAACAGGATGCCGGCACGGAGGAGAGAGTACACAGGTTGAGACGGAAGGAGAGAGGTGTCAGGAGGAGAGCTGTCACCACAGGTGCAGACGGAAGGAGAGGGGGGGGGGCGGGGTACCACAGCGTGCAGTCGGGGGAGAGAGTACAGCTGGGCAGCGGGGGAGAGGTACCACAGGTGCCGACGGGGCGTGAGAGAGTACACAGGTGCAGACGGGAGGAGTGAAGTACACAGTGCAGACGGAGGAGAGAGTGTCTGGAGGGAGAGAGTCCACAGGTTGCAGAGGAGGAGAGAGTACAAGGTGCAGTCGGGGGAGAGAGAGTACACAGGTCAGACGGGGGGAGAGAGGTTACTCAGGTTGCAGACGGTGGAGCGAGTACACAGGTTGCACGACGGAGGAGAGAGTAACACAGGTGCTGGACGGAGGAGATAGAGAAGGTGTCAGGGAGGAGAGGGTCCACAGGTGCAGACGGGGAGGGAGAGAGTACAAAGGTGCAAGACAGGGGGAGAGAGAAGATACACAGGTGCAGACGGGGGAGAGAGTACACACAGGTGCAGACGGGGTGGAGAGAGTACACAGGTAGACTAGAAACGGAGGGACGGAGAGTTTCACTGCGTGCTGACGGGAAGGAGAGTGGTGCGGTGGAGAGAGTTCCACAGGTGCAGACGGAGGGAGAGAGTACCACGGTGCATGAGGACGGGGAGAGAGTCACAGGTGCAGACGGGGGAGAGAGACACAGGTGCTGACGGAGGGAGAGAGTATCTCAGGGTGCAGACCCCGGAGGAGAGAGTACACAGGTGACAGACGGAGGTGAGAGGTCTAGTCGGAGGAGAGAGTACACAGGTGCAGGACGGAGGAGAGAGTACACAGGTGCAGACGGTTGGGAGAGAGTACACAGGTTGCAGACGGGGGAGAGAGTTCACAGGTGCGACGGGGGAGTGAGTACACAGGTGCGGCACGGAGGAGCGAGTACACAGGTGCCGGACGAGGAGAGGAGGTGTCAGGAGGGAGAGACGTCCACAGGTGCAGACGGAGGAGAGAGTGACACAGGTGCAGACGGAGGGGAGAGAGTACACAGGTTGCAGACGGGGGAGAGATTACACAGGTGCAGACGGGGGAGAGAGTACACAGGTGCAGTAGGAGGGAGAGAGTACAAAGGTGCAGACGGAGGAGAGAGGTGTCAGGCAGGAGAGAGTCACAGGGGCAGACGGAAGGAAGGAGAGTACAAGGTGCAGACGGGGGAGAGAGTACAAGCAGGCTGCTGACGGGGGAGAAGAGTACACAGGTGAGACGGGGGTGAGATTACAACAGGTGCAGACGGTGGAGAGAGTACACAGGTGGCAGACGGCATGAGAGAGGTGTCAGGAGGTAGAGAGTCCACAGGTGCAGACGGTGGAGAGTGTACACAGGTGCAGAGGGGGGCGGGAGAGAGTTACCACAGCTGTGCAGACGGGGGTGAGAGTACACAGGTGATGCGGGGGAGACAGTAACCACAGGTGCGACGGAGGAGGGAGTACAACAGGTAGCAGACGGAGGAAGAGACGGTGTCAGGAGTGAGAGAAGTCCACAGGTGCTAGACGGAGGAGTGAGTACACTGGTGCAGACGGGCGGGAGAGAGTTACAGGTGCAGACGGGGGAGAGAGTACACAGGTGCAGAGGGGGCAGAGTCACAGGTGCAGACGGAGGTGAAGTTCAACTGGTGCAGACGGAGGAGAGAGCGGTGTCGGAGAGAGAGAATGTTCCACATGGTGCAGACGGAGGAGAGAGTAACACAGGTGCAGACGGGGGGGAGAGAGTACACAGGTGCAGACGGGGGAGAGATACACAGGTGCAGACGGGGGAGAGAGTACACAGGTGCGAGACGGAGGAGAGATAGATACAAGGTGCAGACCGGAGGAGGAGAGGTTGTCAGGAGGAGAGAGTCCACAGGCAGACGGAGGAGAAGGAGAGTGTACACAGGTGCAGGACGGGGAGAGAGTACACTGGTGGCAGACAGGGGGAGAGAGTACACCAGGTGCAGAGGGAGGAGAGGAGAGTACACAGGTGCAGGAACGGAGGAGAGGTACACAGGGTTGCAGACGGAGGACGAGAGGCTCAGGAGGAGAGAGTATGTCCACAGGGCTGAGACGGAGGACGAGAGTACACAGGTGCAGGACGGGGGAGTGAGAGTCACAGGTGCAGACGGGGTGAGAGTGTACACAGGTGCAGGACGCGGGGGAGACGAGTACACAGTGCGCGGAGGAGAGAGTACACAGGTGCAGACGGAGGAGAGAGGAGAGAGGTGTCAGGGAGGGAGAAGAGGTCCTACAGGTTGGCAGACGGAGGAGGAGTTACACAGGCTGCAGACGGGGGAGAGAGTACACAGGTGCAGGACGGGCGGAGAGAGTACACAGTGTGCAAGGACGGGGGAGAGAGTACACAGGTGCAGACGGAGGACGGAGAGTACTACAGGTTGCAGACGGAGGAGTGAGGTGTCAGGTGGAGAGAGTCCACAGCGTGCTGACGGTCGGAGGAGAGTACAAGGTGCAGACGGGGGGAGAGAGTACATAGTGCAGACGGGGGAGAGACGAGAGTAACAGGTGCAGACGGGGAGAGAGTACACAGGTGCAGACGGAGGAGAGTTGAGAGAGCTTCACAGGTGCAGACGGGAGGGAGAGGTGTCAGGAGGAGAGAGTCACAGGTGCAGACGGAGGAGAGAGAGTAAACAGGTGCAGTTACGGGGGAGAGAAGAGAGTCACACAGGTGCAGACGGGGGAGGAGAGTACAACCGGTTGCAGACGGGGAGAGATTACACTGGTGCAGACGGGGAGTGAGAGGACCACAGGTGCAGCGGAGGAGAGAGGTGTCAGGAGGAGAGGTCCCCACCAGGTGCAGTCGGAGGAGAGAGTACACAGGTGCAGACGGGGGTGAAGAGTACACAGGTGCAGACTCGGGGGAGAAGTGAGGAGTACACAGGTGCAGACGGGGGTGAGATTTCACAGGTGAGGACGGAGGAGTGATTACACAGGTGCGACGGAGGAGATGAGGGTGTCAGGAGGAGAGAGTCCACCGGTGCAGACGGAGGAGAGAGTACACGGTGTGCAGACGGGGAAAGAGAGAGTTACACAGGTGCAGCGGGGGAGAGAGTACACAGTTGCAGACCGGCGGGCGCCAAAGCCTATTACACAGGTGCAGGTCGGAGGAGAGAGTTCACACGTGCTGACTGGAGGAGAGAGGTGTCAGGAGGAGTGAGTCCACGAGGTGCAGCGGAGGGAGAGAGTACCAGGTGCAGACGGGGGAGAGAGTACACAGGTGCTGACGGGGGAGAGAGTACACAGGTTGCAGACGGGGGAGAGAGTACACAGTGCAGACGGTGGAGAGAGGAACAGGTGCAGAGGGAGGAGAGAAGGTGTCGGAGGAGAAGATTCCACAGGTGAGAGGAGGGGGAGGAGAGCTGTACACAGGTGCCAGAGGGGGGAGGGAGAGAGTACACTGGTGCAGTCGGTGGAGAAGAAGTTACAGGTGCAGACGGGGTGAGAGTACCACAGGGTGCAGACGGGAGCGAGAGTGTACACAGGTTGCAGACGGAGGAGAGAGGTGTCTGGAGGAAAAGAGCGTCACACAGAGTGCAGACGGGAAGTTGAGAGTACACAGGGTGCAGACGGGGGAGAGAGGTACACAGGTGCCAAGACGGGGGTAGGGATAGAGGAGTACTCAAGGTTGCAGACGGTGGGATGGAGAGTTACACAGGTGCAGACGGAGGAGAGCAGTTACTACAGTGCGTCGGAGGGAGAAGAGGTAGTCAGGAGGTGAGAGTCCACAGTGCAGACGGAGGAGAGAGTACACAGGTGGCAGACGGCGGGAGAGTGTACACAGGTGCAGACGGGGGTGATGAGTACACAGGTGCAGACGGGGGAGAGTTGTTACACAGGTGCAGACGGAGGGAGAAGTACACAGGCTTGCATGCCGGTAGGAGAGAGGTGTCAGGAGGAGAGAGTCCAACAGGTGCCTGGTCGGTGAGAGAGTACCATGTGCAGATCGGGGGAAGAGAGTACACGGTGCAGAGGGGAGAGTGTAAACAGGTGCAGACGGGGGAGAGAGTACCAACAGGTGCTGACGGAGGAGACGTGTACACAGTGCAGAAGGTAGGAGAGAGGGTGGTCAGGAGGAGAGAGTCCAAGGTGCAAGACGGAGGGATGTGAGTAACTAGGTGGCTGACGGGGGACAGAGTAGTACACAGGTGAAATCCAACGGGGGAGAGAGAAAACAGGTGCAGGACGGAGGAGAGAGTACAAGGTGCAGGACGGAGGAGATAGTACACAGGTGCAGAGGAGGAGAGAGGTGTCACACACAGAAGGATAGTCCACAGGTGCACGGAGGAGAGTGTAAACAGGTGCAGCACACATGGTGAGGACACACACAGGTAGAGGGCTCAAACACACAAACACCACACAAACACACACAAAACACACACACAGACACGTCACATAGGGACACGCACATAGACACGCACACAACACACATAGACCACACGCACATAGACACCGCACACAAACACACATAGACACGCACACACACACACAGACACACACATAGACACGCACACACCACACACAGGGCGGCACGGTGGCTGAGTGGATAGCACTCTCGCCTCTCAGCAAGAAGGTCCTGGGTTCGAATCCCGGTCGGACCAGGGCCTTTCTGAGTGGAGTTTGCATGTTCTCCCGTGTCTGCGTAGGTTTCCTCCGGGTACTACCGGTTTCCCCTACCACTAAAAATATGTCCAATAGTTCTGGCATGCGCCTCCTGTACTGGCCCCGCTCCCATCTCTGTGTGGAGTGAGAGACAAATGCCCAAAATTAACAATTGTAAACCGCTTTGAGACTCAGATCTGCAGTGAAAAGGCGGTATATAAATCATAAAACTTACTTATTTACTTACTTACACCACACACACAGACACACACATGATACACATCAGACACACACTCACACACTCACACAGACACAGACAGAAACACACACACAGATACAGACACACACAGACACACAGCAGTGGTTGACACGTGCTAATGGGGGCGTGGCCTGTTGATCTAGCCATTAGCTTAGCGGTTGACAGGTCGTAGACATAGATGAATCTGGGTTAATACGATTTCTTTTTCACACCTTTAAAATCAGATAAAGATCAAAGAGGATCGGTTTATTTTCCTTCCTCTGCCATTATCTGCCACACATACACAAAACAATACATCATACACACTACAGAAGACGTGTTAGGATCTGGTTATCCTAGCAACACACCACAACAAACCAGGATCAGGGAACGTTCCAGCAGCTCTTTGGATCCAGTCACTGTCTGAGCTGAATAACGAAGGGACCAGTTTTCATGGTTGTGAACCAGAAGTAGGGTAGAGTAAGCGAGGGTTACGGGTAGGGTAGCGTCGAGTCGCGTTAGTAGAAGAGGTAGAGAGTAGAGTAGAGTAGAGTTAGAGAGTAGGTGGTTAGGGTAGCGTTAGCGTAGAGCGAGTAGAGGTATAGTAGCGTAGAGAAGAGTATGGATAGGCGTGAGGGTGGATAGGGTAGGGAGAGAAGAGTTAGTGTAGCGTTCGGAAGGTAGAGCTAGGTTAAAGGAGTAGAAGTGTCGATTAGAGTAGAGTCTCGAGTAAGGCAAGGGGTAGGGGTAGCTTCGAGTAGTAGATTCGAGTTTTTAAAGAGTAGAGTAGGGTAGGGTAGGGTTAGGGTAGGGTGTATCGGGGGTTGGGTTAGGGTAGGGTTAGGTAGGGTAGTAGAAGATGGTAGAGTAGGGGTAGGGGTAGGGTGAGGGTAGGGTTTAGGGTAGGGGTAGAGTCGAGTAGAACGTCAGGTGTAGTAGAGTGAGCTATGGTAGAGTTAGGAGTAGCGTAGAGTGGGTGGGGGGGGGTTAGGGTGAGGGTGATTAGGGTTAGGGTAGGGTAGGGTAGTGGGTAGAGTAGAGTAGAGTATCGGGTAGGGTTAGGGTAGGCGTAAGTGGTGGGTAGGGATTTTGAAGTTATTAGAGTAGAAGTAGTCAGGCTATGGGTTTTATATTATTAGGTTTTAGAGTGTAGGGTATATGGTAGGAGTTAGAGTAGAGGTAAAGGTAGGATTTGATAGAGAGTAGAGTAGGGTGGAGAGGTCTAAGAAAACTCTTATTGATTTCTAACGGGACAACCAGAGAAGGGATGAACATTATAGTCGTATGTTTTACATCTGACACTTTCAGATGCTGAAACAACATATGTTTAGACACGGATTAAAGACAGTCCAGGAACGTTTTCGGGTTTTTCGTTCGATGGTTAAAGTCCAGAACGAGTTGGTGTTCGAGGCCCGCCCAGAAGGGGGGGGCTCTTCACACTGCTCAGTGTTTGGTATGGTCTTTGCTATATATGCGTCTCTGTGGAAACCGTGCGTTTTTAGATCGTTGGCCCCTTCAGCCGCCGACGCTTTGAAATTAATGAAACACACCCACGTTACCGCGGGGGCACGGCCCCTTCTCTCTCTACTTCTGAAAAGTCCAATCCAAGACTGCCTTTTTCTATCGGGGACCTGCTTTTATTTTATAGCACCATCACCGCGGGTACTCTTGAACTAGAAAATATTGTGGGCCATCCGATCCAGAAGCTGGAGAATCAAGTGTGTGTAATAGTTCCCGCCTCCTCTGGCATTTCTCCACGGGTTCGAGGAGTGTTTCCACGCGCGCGGTAAACATGCTATCGGTATCACACGCCGGTGGGGGTTCTTGATTGCGGCTACTAAGCGGTTTACACGTGCCTTTGATAGCCTCTGCGCCGCGGGTATAGCCCTGGTTCAGCTGTGCGTAAAATCCCGTTAGCCCGTCGCGCCTCTCTACTGCGCCGCCACAATGGCCAGAGCTGATCTCCAGAACACTCCGGCGCTTAATCCCAGCGGCGACCGTGACGGTTGAGAGCGGGCTTCCTGACTTCACACCCGTCCACATGAAAGTGTTTTGATGCGAAACTGCAGAAAGAACGCCATGATTACGGTCCTAAAGCAAGCGCGCCGCCGCCCATGCTACGACTAGACACGTTCAGCCGCTCGGGGGAAAGGTGCGAGTGTTCATTAAACCCTTTCTTAGTATTTGCTCGATGGAGTCACGATCTCAAGTTCATTTCTTTTTGTGACAGGCTCTGAATCCACTACACCAAGTTGCCTCTAACTACAGAGGACTTTAAAATAAAAAATGAGACTTCATCTTAAACTTATGTAAGGAGCTTAGGTTGGTAAAGTCTGGAAGCGCCGAATCCTGTTTGTTCAAATAAGTTATATTTGTATCCTGTCCGTCGTCTGATCCTGTTCTTCATATTGGTGTCTTAAACCCATGAAGGGCGGGGGCATGTTGTATGCAAGACACAATAATACATACAAATTCAGAAGTAAGTAAGTAAGTAAGTTAGAAGAAGAAGAAGAAGAAATCCAATGATAACAATCGCATAGAGCAGGGGTCTCCAGTAGCTCTCCAGCCCCTGAGTAGCTCCCCAAAGGATTTAGAATTTTACACATGATCTTGAAAGATTCATTTTGACTCAATGCATTTCTATAATAAGTATTAATATCGGGTTGTTCAGTGCAATGGTATGTTTTCCATGTTTTGTCATAATTATTTCACAGAATTTTATTACGGCTGCAAAAAGGAGTAGCTCTCTGCCTCTTCTGTTGTACAAAAGTAGCTCTCTGACAGAAGAAGGTTTGGGGACCCCTGACACAGAGCCATGAGTCCATAAGAGAGTCCTGGATCATCTCTGTCATTACTGCCTCCTGCTTCAGAGGAACTACTGAAGTGAGAAACCCCGGGCAGAGAGGCTGTGGATGCAGGACTCAGGCTGTACAACGAGGACTGAGGCCTCTCCCAGACTCCAGGCCGGGGTCAGGGGGAGAGTACACAGGTGCAGACGGGAGAGAGCGGGGTCAGGGGAGAGAGTACACAGGTGCAGACGGAGGAGAGAGTACACAGGTGCAGACGGGAGAGAGCGGGGTCAGGGGGGAGAGAGTACACAGGTGCAGACGGAGGAGAGAGTACACAGGTGCAGACGGGGGGAGAGAGTACACAGGTGCAGACGGGGGAGAGAGTACACAGGTGCAGACAGAGGAGAGCGCGGGTCAGGGGGAGAGAGTACACAGGTGCAGACGGGAGAGAGCGGGGTCAGGGGGAGAGAGTACACAGGTGCAGACGGAGGAGAGCGGGGTCAGGGGGAGAGAGTACACAGGTGCAGACAGGGGAGAGCGGGGTCAGGGGGAGAGAGTACACAGGTGCAGACGGGGGAGAGCGGGGTCAGGGGGAGAGAGTACACAGGTGCAGACGGAGGAGAGCGGGTCAGGGGGAGAGAGTACACAGGTGCAGACGGAGGAGAGCGGGGTCAGGGGGAGAGAGTACACAGGTGCAGACGGGGGAGAGCGGGGTCAGGGGGAGAGAGTACACAGGTGCAGACGGAGGAGAGCGGGGTCAGGGGGAGAGAGTACACAGGTGCAGACGGGGGGGAGAGCGGGGTCAGGGGGAGAGAGTACACAGGTGCAGACAGGGGAGAGCGGGGGTCAGGGGGAGAGAGTACACAGGTGCAGACGGGAGAGAGCGGGGTCAGGGGGAGAGAGTACACAGGTGCAGACGGAGGAGAGAGTACACAGGTGCAGACGGGAGAGCGGGGTCAGGGGGAGAGAGTACACAGGTGCAGACGGAGGAGAGCGGGGTCAGGGGGGGAGAGAGTACACAGGTGCAGACGGGGGAGAGCGGGGTCAGGGGGAGAGAGTACACAGGTGCAGACGGAGGAGAGCGGGGTCAGGGGGAGAGAGTACACAGGTGCAGACGGAGGAGAGCGGGGTCAGGGGGAGAGAGTACACAGGTGCAGACGGGGGAGAGCGGGGTCAGGGGGAGAGAGTACACAGGTGCAGACAGGGAGAGCGGGGTCAGGGGGGAGAGAGTACACAGGTGCAGACGGGAGAGAGCGGGGTCAGGGGGAGAGAGTACACAGGTGCAGACGGAGGAGAGAGTACACAGGTGCAGACGGAGGAGAGAGGTGTCAGGAGGAGAGAGTCCACAGGTGCAGACGGAGGAGAGAGTACACAGGTGCAGACGGGGGAGAGAGTACACAGGTGCAGACGGGGGAGAGAGTACACAGGTGCAGACGGGGGAGAGAGTACACAGGTGCAGACGGAGGAGAGAGTACACAGGTGCAGACGGAGGAGAGCGGGGTCAGGGGGAGAGAGTACACAGGTGCAGACGGGAGAGAGCGGGGTCAGGGGGAGAGAGTACACAGGTGCAGACGGGAGAGAGCGGGGTCAGGGGGAGAGAGTACATAGGTGCAGACGGGAGAGAGCGGGGTCAGGGGGAGAGAGTACACAGGTGCAGACGGGAGAGAGCGGGTCAGGGGGAGAGAGTACACAGGTGCAGACGGGAGAGAGCGGGGTCAGGGGGAGAGAGTACACAGGTGCAGACGGGAGAGAGCGGGGTCAGGGGGAGAGAGTACACAGGTGCAGACGGGAGAGAGCGGGGTCAGGGGGAGAGAGTACACAGGTGCAGACGGGAGAGAGCGGGGTCAGGGGGGGAGAGTACACAGGTGCAGACGGGAGAGAGCGGGGTCAGGGGGAGAGAGTACACAGGTGCAGACGGGAGAGAGCGGGGTCAGGGGGAGAGAGTACACAGGTGCAGACGGGAGAGAGCGGGGTCAGGGGGAGAGAGTACACAGGTGCAGACGGGGGAGAGCGGGGTCGGGGGGAGAGAGTACACAGGTGCAGACGGGGGAGAGAGTACACAGGTGCAGACGGAGGAGAGAGTACACAGGTGCAGACGGGGAGAGAGTACACAGGTGCAGATGGGGGAGAGAGTACACAGGTGCAGACGGGGGAGAGAGTACACAGGTGCAGACGGAGGAGAGAGTACACAGGTGCAGACAGGGGAGAGCGGTATCAGGAGGAGAGAGTACACAGGTGCAGACGGGAGAGAGCGGGGTCAGGGGGAGAGAGTACACAGGTGCAGACGGAGAGAGCGGGGTCAGGGGGAGAGAGTACACAGGTGCAGACGGAGGAGAGAGTACACAGGTGCAGACGGAGGAGAGAGTACACAGGTGCAGACGGGGGAGAGCGGGGTCAGGAGGAGAGAGTCCACAGGTGCAGACGGAGGAGAGCGGGGTCAGGGAGAGATAGTCCACAGGTGCAGACGGGAGAGAGCGGGGTCAGGGGGAGAGAGTACACAGGTGCAGACGGGGGAGAGCGGGGTCAGGGGGAGAGAGTACACAGGTGCAGACGGGGGAGAGAGTACACAGGTGCAGACGGAGGAGAGAGTACACAGGTGCAGACGGGGGAGAGAGTACACAGGTGCAGATGGGGGAGAGAGTACACAGGTGCAGACGGGGGAGAGAGTACACAGGTGCAGACGGAGGAGAGAGTACACAGGTGCAGACAGGGGAGAGCGGTATCAGGAGGAGAGAGTACACAGGTGCAGACGGGGAGAGAGCGGGGTCAGGGGGAGAGAGTACACAGGTGCAGACGGGAGAGAGCGGGGTCAGGGGGAGAGAGTACACAGGTGCAGACGGAGGAGAGCGGGGTCAGGGAGAGATAGTCCACAGGTGCAGACGGAGGAGAGAGTACACAGGTGCAGACGGGGGAGAGAGTACACAGGTGCAGACGGGGGAGAGAGTACACAGGTGCAGACGGAGGAGAGCGGGGTCAGGGGGAGAGAGTACACAGGTGCAGACGGGAGAGAGCGGGGTCAGGGGGAGAGAGTACACAGGTGCAGACGGAGGAGAGCGGGGTCAGGGGGAGAGAGTACACAGGTGCAGACGGGGGAGAGCGGGGTCAGGGGGAGAGAGTACACAGGTGCAGACAAGGGAGAGCGGGGTCAGGGGAGAGAGTACACAGGTGCAGACGGGAGAGAGCGGGGTTAGGGGGAGAGAGTACACAGGTGCAGACGGAGGAGAGAGTACACAGGTGCAGACGGAGGAGAGAGGTGTCAGGAGGAGAGAGTCCACAGGTGCAGACGGAGGAGAGCGGGGTCAGGGAGAGATAGTCCACAGGTGCAGACGGAGGAGAGAGTACACAGGTGCAGACGGGGAGAGAGTACACAGGTGCAGACGGGGGAGAGAGTACACAGGTGCAGACGGGGGAGAGAGTACACAGGTGCAGACGGGGGAGAGAGTACACAGGTGCAGACGGAGGAGAGAGTACACAGGTGCAGACGGAGGAGAGCGGGGTCAGGGGGAGAGAGTACACAGGTGCAGACGGGAGAGAGCGGGGTCAGGGGGAGAGAGTACACAGGTGCAGACGGAGGAGAGCGGGGTCAGGGGGAGAGAGTACACAGGTGCAGACGGGGAGAGCGGGGTCAGGGGGAGAGAGTACACAGGTGCAGACAGGGGAGAGCGGGGTCAGGGGGAGAGAGTACACAGGTGCAGACGGGAGAGAGCGGGGTCAGGGGGAGAGAGTACACAGGTGCAGACGGAGGAGAGAGTACACAGGTGCAGACGGAGGAGAGAGGTGTCAGGAGGAGAGAGTCCACAGGTGCAGACGGAGGAGAGCGGGGTCAGGGAGAGATAGTCCACAGGTGCAGACGGAGGAGAGAGTACACAGGTGCAGACGGGGGAGAGAGTACACAGGTGCAGACGGGGGAGAGAGTACACAGGTGCAGACGGGGGAGAGAGTACACAGGTGCAGACGGGGGAGAGAGTACACAGGTGCAGACGGAGGAGAGAGTACACAGGTGCAGACGGAGGAGAGAGTACACAGGTGCAGACGGAGGAGAGAGTACACAGGTGCAGACGGGGGAGAGCGGTATCAGGAGGAGAGAGTACACAGGTGCAGACGGTGGTCCCATCATCACGCCTAAAACAGATGGGACTTGAAGCTCAGAACTTAAACATACCTCATTGGGCCTTTCTGAGTGGAGTTTTTGCATGTTCTCTCCGTGCCTGCCTAGGTTTCCTCCAGGTGCTCCGGTCTCCCCTACTAAAAGAACATTCCCAACACATCAAACATTCCCAACACATCAAATCCTCCAGCTCTGGTCCTGACCCAGCCGAGCATCAACCCCTGGAGCTGGGTCCCGGGCGCTGTTACCACGGCGACCACTGCTCCTGCCTAAGCCTTAGCAGCGTCTGGGTCAAATGCAGAGGTGGATTTGCCCCACAGGGATCGACACAGTCCACCTTAAATCCTCGGACCTCGCTGCAGACCCAACCCTCTGCTTCCTCCTTCTCGCTCCTCGCTGGGCCACAGAGGATCCATCTTGTTTACACAGAACTATTAGTGTATTTGTATAATTTCTCTTTTGCTGCGAGTGCGTTCTAAACCGGCGCTGGTTTTAGATTCATTTGCGTTGCTTGTTCTCCCCATCGCCCAGGGGTTGGATGTTTGTCTGAGCTGATGAATAATGCAGTCAGGAGTCGTGTTGTTGAATGTGTTGAATGTTTAAACCTCTCTGAGCGAGTGGGACCAAGATGGAGGCCGGGGCCCGTAACCACCGCTCACTCTGACGCCGCACGGACGCAGAATATTCAGTAAAAAATAACAAATAATAATCCTGCACATGACTTTTATTCTTTGGCTTTTATCACGACATGAGTTTGTTTTGCTCTGAAACATTTACAGATGGACAGACTCATTATTTAGAGTTTGTTGGAGAAATAGATGTAAAACATAACAGGGCTCTTGACTGTTCTTTTTTGTCCGGCTCTTGGTCTTGGTCTTGGTCCTGGTCTTGGTCTTGGTCCTGGTCTTGGTCCTGGTCCTGGTCCTGGTCCTAAAGTGGACAAATGACAGAGACTTATAGACGGATTGCCCGTTGGCGTTTTATTTCAGTTTCTGGCTGTTACAGTTTTTCAGAGATTTCTAGAGTTTTCTCAAAGTTTTTTCCAGCGTTTCTCCAGTATTTCTCTGGAGTTTTTTCAGTTTATCCAGACTTTAGTCAGAGTTTTTCCAGAGTTACAGAATACTTTATATTTGACAAAAGACGGATGTTAGCTAGTCCAAACAACAGAGACCAGACTGAAGTCGCCGTGACCTTAAAGACCTGAACACCAAGGCCAGCTCTCACACTGGTCCTGGTCTTGGTCCTGGTCTTGGTCTGGGTCCTGGTCTTGGTCCTGGTCTGGGTCTTGGTCCTATTCTGGGTCCTAGTCCTGGTCCTGGTCTGGGTCCTGGTGCTGGTGCTGGTCCTGGTCTTGGTCTGGGTCTTGGTCCTGGTACTGGTCCTGGTCCTGGTCCTGGTCTTGGTCTTGGTACTGGTCCTGGTCTTGGTCCTGGTCCTGATCTTGGTACTGGTCTTGGTCCTGGTCCTGGTCCTGATCTTGGTCTGGGTCCTGGTCTTGGTCTTGGTCTTGGTCTTGGTCCTGGTCCTGGTCCTGGTCCTGGTCTTGGTCCTGCTCTGGGTCCTGGTCTTGGTCTTGGTCTTGGTCTTGGTCTTGGTCCTGGTCTTGGTCCTGCTCTGGGTCCTGCTCTGGGTCCTGGTCTTGGTCTTGGTCTTGGTCCTGGTCTTGGTCCTGCTCTGGGTCCTGGTCTTGGTCTTGGTCCTGGTCCTGGTCCTGGTCCTGGTCCTGGTCTTGGTCTTGGTCTTGGTCTTGGTCTTGGTCCTGGTCCTGGTCCTACTGAGACTAACCCCAGATAAAAGTCTAACGGTCCTGTGTCCTCTGCAGCCGCTGGACTACGAGACGATGCCCGTTCACACGTTCACGGTGGAGGTGCGCGAGGAGCTGGCGGTGCGCACGCCGGAGAACAGCCGCAGCGCCATCACCACGGCAACGGTGAGGTCACACTCTCAACAGCCAATGAGACGTCTGCGTTTGTCGAATAGTTACGTCACTGTTTCATGTAAAGCTCTCTTTCTCTCTCACTATCGCTCTCTCTCTCTGGTCTCTCTCTGGTCTCTCTCTGGTCTCTCTCTGGTCTCTCTCTGCTCTCTCTCTGGTCTCTCTCTCTCTGGTCTCTCTCTGGTCTCTCTCTGGTCTTTCTCTGGTCTCTCTCTCTGGTCTTTCTCTGGTCTCTCTCTCTGGTCTCTCTCTCTGGTCTCTCTCTGGTCTCTCTCTCTGGTCTCTCTCTGGTCTTTCTCTGCTCTCTATCTGGTCTCTCTCTCTGGTCTCTCTCTGGTCTCTCTCTGGTCTCTCTCTGGTCTTTCTCTGGTCTCTCTCTCTGGTCTTTCTCTGGTCTCTCTCTCTGGTCTCTCTCTGGTCTCTCTCTCTGGTCTCTCTCTGGTCTCTCTCTCTCTCTGTCTCTCTCTCTCACTCTGCTCTCTCACTGCTCTCTATCTGGTCTCTCTCTCTCTCTCTGTCTCTCTCTGGTCTCCCTCTCTCTCTTTCTCTCACTCTGCTCTCTCTCGCTCACTCTAGTCTCTCTCTCTCTGTCTCTGTCTCTGGTCTCTCTCTCTCTCTCTCTCTCTCTGGTCTCCCTCTCTCTTTCTCTCACTCTGCTCTCTCTCTCTCACTCTGGTCCCTCTCTGGTCCCTCTCTGGTCTCTCTCTGGTCTCTCTCTCTCTGGTCTCTCTCTCTGGTCTGTCTCTCTCTGCTCTCTCTCTCTCTCTGGTCTCTCTCTCTCTGGTCTCTCTCTCTCTGGTCTCTCTCTCTCTGGTCTCTCTCTCTCTGGTCTGTCTCTCTCTGGTCTCTCTCTCTCTGGTCTCTCTCTCTCTGGTCTGTCTCTCTCTGGTCTCTCTCTCTCTCTGGTCTCTCTCTCTCTGGTCTCTCTCTCTGGTCTGTCTCTCTCTGGTCTCTCTCTCTCTGGTCTCTCTCTCTCTGGTCTCTCTGTCTCTCTCTGGTCTCTCTCTCTCTGGTCTCTCTCTCTCTGGTCTCTCTCTCTGGTCTCTCTCTCTCTGGTCTCTCTCTCTCTGGTCTCTCTCTCTCTGGTCTCTCTCTCTCTGGTCTGTCTCTCTCTGGTCTCTCTCTCTCTCTGGTCTCTCTCTCTCTCTGGTCTCTCTCTGGTCTCTCTCTCTCTGGTCTCTCTCTCTCTGGTCTCTCTCTCTCTGGTCTCTCTCTCTCTGGTCTCTCTCTCTCTGGTCTCTCTCTGGTCTGTCTCTCTCTGGTCTCTCTCTCTCTCTGGTCTCTCTCTGGTCTCTCTCTCTCTGGTCTCTCTCTCTCTGGTCTCTCTCTCTGGTCTGTCTCTCTCTGGTCTCTCTCTCTCTCTGGTCTCTCTCTCTCTCTGGTCTCTCTCTCTCTGGCGTTGTCTCAGTAGTATCCAGTTTACCTTCATCATAAAGTAGAAATAGTTTGCTCCAGTTGCTCCAAATTAATTGTTTTTTACACCTCCGTCGTCTTGTTCAATCACACAAGGAGAGAACCCCAATTTCACCGGTGCTAAAAACGATAGAGACTTGTTTGCATAGTATGTCTCCTTTAACGGTCATAACATCAGTGCAGTCAGAGCTTCTCACAACGGCCAATATAAAGTTTTAATGCACTGCAGTCATGAATAAAACATCCTTAAATTAGCTGCAGCGCCATAAAGATGCTAATGTTAGCTCCTTAAGATTTTAATGAGGCTTTTTATGTAACTCTGCACATTTGGGTCCAGGCTAACGCTAATTGTAAACAAAAGGACCGTCCGTTAGCTTAGTTTAGTTTTCACAACCACAAAAACTCTGTCCTCTCCTTTGTTTTGGGAAATGTCGTCAACTTAGCACAGTTAGCAATGCGCAACAAAACAGCTATTAGCTTGATGCTATTTTACTTCTCGGAGTTTTTGCCATTCTTATTCAACTCATGTTCGGAAGTGTACTTCAGAATCAGAGTTATTTTTATTGTGAATAACAAGAAGTACAAACTAGGAAATAGCTTTGGCTCAAGTTAAAAATTGAATAAGTCATAAAAGTAATAAAATCTAAACAACATTTATTAAAATGGCTGCTGTACACAAGTGCACTATATACACACAATATACTCAGCTTATGTACACTTAGCCATTTATAGTTTTCTGTCTCTTTGCCGAGTCGACTTAGTGTCTATAGTTACCATAGCAACACACTGCTTAGTTACCAGAAGTTAGCATTTGGTCTTTAACATTAGCTTTTAACTTTTTTTATATTATATTAACCAGTGAGTAAAACTTAAAAAAATACTAACTTTAAATAAAATTGGTGACACATTTTTGGGGGAAATAACTTACAAAATCTGGAGAAAAAAACTCAACATTTTGGTGGATGTTTAGCATTAGCATTAGCATTTCAACACACTATTTTTCCCATATTTTAGGTTACCGTAAATTCAGAAGTTTTAGCTCTAATTGAAAAGAAGGAAAAACCATAACAATCATGTATTTAAATAAAATTGGGGACACATTTTTGGGGAAATTTCTTTGTTGGCTCGAATGGGAGCAGTCAAAAAGATGGTTTCGAAGGTTGCTACTGTTAGCCGTTAGCATCTGATCTTTAGCATTAGCGTTAACGTTTTAACTGTTTTTGCTGTATTTCAAGTGACTGTATATTCAGCAGATTTTGCAGGCATTAAAAGTCAGTAAAAACATTATAAATGACTTACTTAAAATAAATTTGGTGGCACACTTTTGGGCCGTGGGAGTTCTGGTAGTTTGATACTTGTGGTAGTTTGATACTTGTGGTAGTTTGATACTTGTGGTAGTTTGATACTTGTGGTAGTTTGATACTTGTGGTAGTTTGATACTTGTGGTAGTTTGATACTTGTGGTAGTTTGATACTTGTGGTAGTTTGATACTTGTGGTAGTTTGATACTTGTGGTAGTTTGATACTTGTGGTAGTTTGATACTTGTGGTAGTTTGATACTTGTGGTAGTTTGATACTTGTGGTAGTTTGATACTTGTGGTAGTTTGATACTTGTGGTAGTTTGATACTTGTGGTAGTTTGATACTTGTGGTAGTTTGATACTTGTGGTAGTTTGATACTTGTGGTAGTTTGATACTTGTGGTAGTTTGATACTTGTGGTAGTTTGATACTTGTGGTAGTTTGATACTTGTGGTAGTTTGATACTTGTGGTAGTTTGATACTTGTGGTAGTTTGATACTTGTGGTAGTTTGATACTTGTGGTAGTTTGATACTTGTGGTAGTTTGATACTTGTGGTAGTTTGATACTTGTGGTAGTTTGATACTTGTGGTAGTCCTGGTGTTAAGCTCGGCGCAGGATGGAGCAGACCATGAAGGATAACGCTGGTGTCTCTGGAACAGGTGACGATCAAAGTCCTGGACGTGGACGAGCCGCCGATGTTCTCTCAGCCCAGCTACACCTTCACCGTCCTGGAGGAGCGCGTCGTGCAGAACATCGGCAGCGTCCTGGCCACCGACCCCGACAAGGCCAAGAACGTCATACGGTACGGTCCGGTTCTGATCAGGGCTGATTGAAACTACGCCATGGTCTCCAGCAGCGACATCAAAGACAGGGTCGACGTTAGCTGTAGCGCTAAATCCGTCTGCGTGCGTTCATGGTTAACCTGGACTAGCTAAAGTGGGGGACCAGTGCTTCCGGGTTTTTCAGATTCATTTATTTGCCATTTGCAGTAAAACCACTTTGGAATACATTCAAACTGATGTATGAATGTACAACTGAACAGCTTGTGGAAAGAAGCGGTTAGCATGCTAGCATATCGAGATGTCCTGCACCTCAGCGAAGCTGGAACATGGCTTTTCCAGGGGCCAGAAGAGTCATTGATTATTCTAAGAGCTCGGTTTAAAAGTGTGGATTTATAAAGAACCTACAGAACAGGAAGGTCACAGTCCTCTCTCTGGTCTCTCTCTGGTCTCTCTCTGGTCTCTCTCTGGTCTCTCTCTGGTCTCTCTCTGGTCTCTCTCTCTGGTCTCTCTCTGGTCTCTCTCTGGTCTTTCTCTGGTCTCTCTCTGGTCTCTCTCTGGTCTCTCTCTGGTCTCTCTCTCTGGTCTCTCTCTCTGGTCTCTCTCTGGTCTCTCTCTGGTCTCTCTCTGGTCTCTCTCTGCTCTCTCTCTGGTCTCTCTCTGGTCTCTCTCTCTGCTCTCTCTCTGGTCTCTCTCTGGTCTCTCTCTCTGGTCTCTCTCTCTGCTCTCTCTCTGGTCTCTCTCTCTGGTCTCTCTCTGGTCTCTCTCTGGTCTCTCTCTGGTCTCTCTCTCTGGTCTCTCTCTGGTCTCTCTCTGGTCTCTCTCTGGTCTCTCTCTGGTCTCTCTCTGCTCTCTCTCTGGTCTCTCTCTCTGGTCTCTCTCTCTGGTCTCTCTCTGCTCTCTCTCTGGTCTCTCTCTCTCTGGTCTCTCTCTCTGCTCTCTCTCTGGTCTCTCTCTCTGGTCTCTCTCTCTGGTCTCTCTCTCTGGTCTCTCTCTCTGGTCTCTCTCTCTGCTCTCTCTCTGGTCTCTCTCTCTGCTCTCTCTCTCTGCTCTCTCTCTGGTCTCTCTCTCTGGTCTCTCTCTGGTCTCTCTCTCTGATCTCTCTCTCTGGTCTCTCTCTGGTCTCTCTCTGGTCTCTCTCTCTGGTCTCTCTCTCTGGTCTCTCTCTCTGCTCTCTCTCTGGTCTCTCTCTCTGATCTACAGCCTTGTTCAATGGAAAACAATCTAAATATTGAATTAGCGTACTTAGGCCACGCTACAGTGTTCTGTAAGAAAACAAAAACAACAAATTGAGAATTGAGAATCGTGACCCTAATATCAATGGTCAAATTTAATGGAGGATTTGACTCGTGACAGCCTTAGTTACTATGGTTACAGGACCCTGAAGAACAAGGCCAGAGAGTCGGATTGAGATTCAGTTATGGCGAGAATTGTTAAAACACTGTTAAAAGATCAAACAGTAGATATTTTTGTGCCTATTGTGTGTCTTTAAAATCCTGAATAGCATCTGACTGTGTTCATTCATGTCGTCCTGGTCCTGGTCCTGGTCCTGGTCCTGGTCCGGGTCCTGGTCTGGGTCGGAAACAGGATTTAAAGCTTTGTCTCTGATTCTAAATGTCTGTTAAACTGAGAGAACTTCACATCTGTCTGATCATGTTTTCATAGTTTCCTCTCTGACAAAATAATCTGTTTCCAGGACCGTCTCTATTCTCACCACAGATGGAATTAAAACATCAGATTCAGTGTATTTGCCATTTGCAGTAAAACCACATTGGAATACATGTGCAAGAGTCCCCAGAGTATGTCATCAAAAACAAATCGAAAAAATTGTCTGTGAAATTGATCCCCAATGAACGTGCTTTGTTCAGACTCGTAACAGATTGTGGAAAGAAGAGGTTAGCATGTTAGCATATCCAGATGTCCTGCCTCTTAGTGAACAATGTCTTCTGCCAGAGGGAAGAAGCTGGAACATGGCTTTTCCAGGAGCCAGATGAGTCAGTGATCGTTCTAAAGAACCTCCAGAGCAGACAGTGCTTTTAACATTTAAAGTTTAAAGGAGGATTTTCTACTTCCGGGTGGATCATGAAGTCTATTGGTCCTCCCAGTTGTCAATCATTCTGGTGATATGTGCTCGTCCAATAAGACCAGAGAGTTTGGTTCTTTCCTAAAATGTGGGAAAATCCTCCTGTCAACATTTTAGTGATTCATAAGGTTTTATCTATAATTTGTGGTAACACTGGTTAACATAAATGTAAACAGTGCGTTGCTATGGTGACGAGCACTTTCTCCAAGCTGAGATTGTTCTGAACCAGTCTGGGACCAGTCCAGGACCATAATAATTATAATCTCAGTGTAACAGATGGACTATGGTTCATGGGTTCACATCCCAGTGTGATGTTCATGGGTTCACATTCCTGTGTGATGTTCATGGGTTCACATTCCTGTGTGATGTTCATGGGTTCACATCCCTGTGTGATGTTCATGGGTTCACATCCCTGTGTGATGTTCATGGGTTCACATCCCTGTGTGATGTTCATGGGTTCACATCCCAGTGTGATGATCATATAAATAACCTGTGTGTCTGTCGTTCTCAGTTACTCCATCTTGGACCAGGACAGTCCCTTCTCCATAAACCCCAGGACCGGGGCCCTGTCCACCGTGAGGCCCCTGGACCGAGAGCTGGAGGCCACACACATGTTCCAGGTCAAGGCCCAGGAGGACGGCAGCGGTGAGTCTCCCAGGGGCCTCACCCAGGAACCTCACCCAGGGGACCTCACCCAGGGGCCTTAGCCAGGGGCCTCAGCTTTGGGCCTCAGCTTGGGGACTTTAACTAGGAGCCTCAACCAGGGGTCTCAACTTGGGAACCTCAACCTTTGGGGCCTCAGCTTGGGAACCTCAGCTTAGGGACCCTCAGCTTGTGAGGTCCATGCACAGTGGCGCAGTGGTTAGCACTTGTCTTTCACAGCGAGAAGGTCCTGGGTTCAGTTCCACCTCCGGATCTTTCTGTGTGAAGTTTGCATGTTCTCCACCTGTCTGCGTAGGTTTCCTCCAGGTGCTCCGGAGGAAACATGTGAGGGTTGAGTGTGTGTGAGACAGATGTTAAAGAGCTCCTCAGCGACAGTCTGAACACATAAAACAAAAGCAGCAGGACCTCAGTTCTAGACCCGGGGGATTTTGATTACATGAAAGAACTTTTCCGTGTGTGCTTGACTCAGGCTAACTCAGGCTAACTCAGACTAACTCAGACTAACTCAGACTAACTCAGACTAACTCAGGCTAACTCAGACTAACTCAGACTAACTCAGGCTAACTCAGACTAACTCAGGCTAACTCAGGCTAACTCTGGCTAACTCAGACTAACTCAGACTCAGGCTAACTCAGGCTAACTCAGACTAACTCAGGCTAACTCAGACTAACTCAGGCTAACTCAGGCTAACTCAGGCTAACTCAGGCTAACTCAGACTAACACAGGCTCTCAGGCTAACTCAGGCTAACTCAGGCTAACTCAGACTAACAGACTAACTCAGACTAACTCGGGCTAACTCGGGCTAACTCAGACTAACTCGGGCTAACTCAGACTAACTCAGACTAACTCTGACTAACTCTGACTAACTCTGACTAACTCTGACTAACTCTGACTAACTCTGACTAACTCAGACTAACTCAGACTAACTCGGGCTAACTCTGACTAACTCAGACTAACTCAGACTAACTCGGACTAACTCAGACTAACTCGGGATAACTCGGGCTAACTCAGACTAACTCAGGCTAACTCAGGACTAACTCAGACTAACTCAGACTAACTCAGGACTAACTCAGACTAACTCAGACTAACTCTGACTAACTCTGAGGCCTCGCAGCTGCGCTCACACGTCCTGACACCAGCACCTTTATTTACGGCCTCTACACTTGTTGTCACCGTTTCCCATTGAAATGAATGAGCAGTGTCTCCAGAAGAACACTCTGAGAGCAGCACCTGAGACACTCCCTCAGCTTTCATTTAACATCTATACATCAATAATATAAGATCTTTACATAAATATTTCCTGAAGCCATGACCTCATCATAAACTTCTAACCCTCTGATGTAAAGATTAAATAAATGATCTATTTGACCTCATGAACAAACTGCACTGATCCAACCTGTTTTTAAGATATCAGAGAGAGTGAAAAGTGTTGTTGAGTGTTGTTAAGTTTGTAAAGCTGAAAACTCACATTCCAAATCTGTCGTTTCTCTATTGGGAGAACGAGGAGAACATGCAAACTCTACACAGAAGGGTCTGGAGGTGGAGTCGAACCCAGGACCTTCTTGCTGTGAGGAACACCCTCTAACCACCGCTTCACCGTGCCGACCACCGATGGTTGTAATCCTAAAATGAATGACGAAAGAATGGATTCACATTTAGTCTTGTTGCCATTTGCAGTAAAACCACATTGGAATAACACGAGCAAGAGTCCGCAGTGTGAACTAGACATGTGCAGGAATAAAACCAGCTAAAAAAAGTTAAAACAGCTTCAATACAAGTGAAGATCGTTAAAGTGCTTTGTTTAACCTGAGAACAGCTGAAAGAAGATGTTAGCATGTTAGCATGTTAGCATGTTAGCATACTGAGATGTCCTGCAGCCAACGATGTCTTCTGCCAGAGGGAAGAAGCTGGAACATGGCTTTCCCAGGAGCCAGTGATTATTCTTTTTATTTCTATAGAATGCGACGGTTTTCCACAGATACATTTTAACGCTGTGTCGTTACTTCCAACAGACGAGGGTCTCAAACAGGAAATACTTTAATAATACACAAATACATTTACTCTACAATACCTCGTTGGGGTCATGTGACACGTGATTGATGTGTTTGTCTGAGACCGGTGATTTCGGTCAAACTTCCCTCTATTCGACGGAAGATTACAGAAAAACCAAAAAAGCCAGAAACAGACTTATTTTTGCTGATGAAAGTAGACAGTCCAGTCTTTCAGAATCTGGTTTCATGTTGCACACAGTCTTAGCACATAATATTCTGTGGGTCTTGAAAGTCAGTGAAATCATCAAAAACGGCCGGCCGTCAATGAGTGAATGTGGGCGGAGTTAAAAAAACGAGATAATATTGTATCTGTAAAAAAGATTTTCAAAGTTGCTGCAACAAAAATCAATCTCAGGCCCAGAAACAAACAAACACCACATCTTCAAACCCTTCGCTGCCTCTGCCTCAAACACTCAGACCTCTGCCTCTGCCTCTGTCTCTGTCTCTGTCTCTGTCTCTGTCTCTGTGATGGACTCAGGGAGAGAGGAGGTCGTGGGCGGAGCTGCTGCAGAGGCATAAATAACTTCAGACGCTCTCACTGTTTGCATTGACTTTATTAATTTAAAGTGTGGCATTTACTCCGATGACGACAGGCTCCGTCTTGATCAGAGCCGAGTCTTTCCGAGCGCACAGACTCAGACTCAGGCTCACGGTCCGAACCCGAGTCTAGACCAGAGGGGTCCAAAGGTTTTAGTGAGAGGCCCACTTTAGTTTACCAGTGGGCCTTTAGTTTTTTTCAGTGGCCCACAACCCGGGTTTTAAAACAATTTGGATTCTGTCTCTGCGTGAGAATAGTTTGCTCTGATGTTCATCTTTTCTGCACACACAAAAAGCCAGATACTGTCTGAAGCTAAGCAGGGCGGAGCCACCTTCAGTCCTCTTCTGAGTCCAGACCTCCTTCAGTCCTCTTCTGAGTCCAGACCTCATTCAGTCCTCTTCTGAGTCCAGACCTCCTTCAGTCCTCTTCTGAGTCCAGACCTCCTTCAGTCCTCTTCTGAGTCCAGACCTCCTTCAGTCCTCACCTGAGTCCAGACCTCCTTCAGTCCTTGCCTGAGTCCAGACCTCCTTCAGTCCTTGCCTGAGTCCAGACCTCCTTCAGTCCTTGCCTGAGTCCAGACCTCCTTCAGTCCTTGCCTGAGTCCAGACCTCCTTCAGTCATCGCCTGAGTCCAGACCTCCTTCAGTCCTCGCCTGAGTCCAGACCTCCTTCAGTCCTCGCCTGAGTCCAGACCTCCTTCAGTCCTCTTCTGAGTCCAGACCTCCTTCAGTCCTTGCCTGAGTCCAGACCTCCTTAAGTCCTTGCCTGAGTCCAGACCTCCTTCAGTCCTCTTCTGAGTCCAGACCTCCTTCAGTCCTCGCCTGAGTCCAGACCTCCTTCAGTCCTTGCCTGAGTCCAGACCTCCTTAAGTCCTTGCCTGAGTCCAGACCTCCTTCAGTCCTTGCCTGAGTCCAGACCTCCTTCAGTCCTCTTCTGAGTCCAGACCTCCTTCAGTCCTTGCCTGAGTCTGGACCTCCTTCAGTCCTTGCCTGAGTCCAGACCTCCTTCAGTCCTTGCCTGAGTCTGGACCTCCTTCAGTCCTTGCCTGAGTCCAGACCTCCTTCAGTCCTTGCCTGAGTCTGGACCTCCTTCAGTCCTTGCCTGAGCCCAGACCTCCTTAAGTCCTTGCCTGAGTCCAGACCTCCTTCAGTCCTTGCCTGAGTCCAGACCTCCTTCAGTCCTCTTCTGAGTCCAGACCTCCTTCAGTCCTCGCCTGAGTCCAGACCTCCTTCAGTCCTCTTCTGAGTCCAGACCTCCTTCAGTCCTCTTCTGAGTCCAGACCTCCTTCAGTCCTCTTCTGAGTCCAGACCTCCTTCAGTCCTCTTCTGAGTCCAGACCTCCTTCAGTCCTCTTCTGAGTCCAGACCTCCTTCAGTCCTCTTCTGAGTCCAGACCTCCTTCAGTTCTCGCCTGAGTCCAGACCTCCTTCAGTCCTCGCCCGAGCGTCCTTTTGTCCTCTGTCCCATTTCTGTTTCCACGGACAATTTAGAAAACACTAAACCTGACAAATGGTTCCACAACGTGACAAAATGGCCGCCCTGTTTTCAAAGCCCAAAAACTTGAACAAAATCAGTAGAAATGGTCTCTTTTCTCTGTCTGTGATGTCACTCATAAACATCAGCTTTATCGCCGTTTAAGACCCACATCCATCACTTTAAGTCCTGCTTTTTACGACTTTCTTTGCTCGGAAAATACATGAATGTTTTCCGCGGGGCTCTGGCCAAGAAAAAGAAAAATACTAAGCAAAGAAAAACAATCCAGGCCTCGTTTGTCTCACGTTGAGCTTTTGAATCCAGCCCTGGCTCCGGTCTCACTCAGTCTGCGCTACACCACATAAACTTCAACATACTGGGGTTTTATTTAATCTCACGTA